CACACATTGTACGCATGTGGGAATCAAACCCGGGTCTTCTGACTGACTGACTGACTGAGTTTGGTTTTACGCTGCTTTTAGCAATATTCCAGCAACATCGCCGCGGGGGACACCAGAAATGGGCTTCACACATTGTACCCATGTGGGGATTCGAACCCAGGTCTTCGGTGTGACGAGCCAACGCTTTAACCACTAGGCTACCCCACCGCCCCTAAACCCGGGTCTTCAGCGTGACAAGTGGACACTTTAACCACAAAGCTACCCCTATTGATTAAGGAAGAAGTGAAAATGTTAACGATATTGAATAACAGGTAACGTCGGTTGCTATCAGCATGCACAATCAGTTCCTGAAGCCAGTAATTGTGATGTATTTACTGTGTTGATTCAGATAAATTTATATTTAAAAAAATCAATAATGCAAAATTTAAAAATTAAATACAAATGATTAAACATTGAAAAAATTCTCATGAACAGTAAATAACATCACCATTCATTAACTCTGGTGCTGGCCAAGTGGTTTAAAATACAACTTTCCTATAATCATTGAGCATGTTCATTATAACTGCAATAGGTTGTTTGACTTGGTTGGTCATTATCACTTGACTGTCTGATGGGACTGACTCTAACGGCTGATGTAAGCAGAATAAAAACAGTCCTGACATTTTGGTGGGTTTGGTGAAGCTTGGGCTTTAACCTTTACCAAGGCAGACAGTTACATTTAACAGATTACAAAACTTTTGTAAAAATATTCAGAAAGTAGAAACAGCTGCGTCCTATTACCTAGTACACTATGGAAGAGTGAGTGAGTTTAGTTTTACGCCATACTCAGCACTATTCCAGCTATATGTCAGTGGTCAGTAAATAATCGAGTCTGGACCAGACAATTCAGTGATCAACATCGTCAGCATCGATCTGCGCAATTGGGATACGATGACATGTGTCAACCAAGTCAGCAAGCCTGACCACCCGATCCCGTTAGTTGCCTCTTACGACAAGCTTGGGTTACTGAAGATCAATTCATAGGTACACCGTGGAAGAAACAAGTACACAATGACATGAATACTATAAGTATCATGTGTTCTAACCATTCAAACATCTGGTAGATAAGAAAGTTACTTTCACTACTTCATTAATAACAGAAAATAATTACACATAAACGTACCAGTAAATAAGACCCTGTCAGGCTGATACCAACAATACATTGTACCTACCAGCAGAGGAGATGTTATTCCAGTAGCGGAGACAATCCCAGGTGTGGATCACCTCTCTACTGACATGGTTAACAATTGGAACAATGTTTCCAGTTTCTGATTCTACTTGTCTATTTCAGGGTGTTAAACCAAACAAAGCTGGTCAATATTTGTGACACTGTTGTCGTATTGCCTTAAAGATACTGAACAACTTTACACAGAAACAACCTCAAATATGGATTATCATTAATAACAATGGGACCCTCTACAATGTTGCCGAGGGGTATAACAATGTTGGGTTTTGTTTTCACCCAGTCAGAGATCTATTGATACAGAAAACAAACTTGCCTATGAATGAGACGTTCTTATCCTGATCGGGGAAGAATAAACATGAGCCTATCATATTAATGGACAAGTATTTCTCTCAGTTCATTGCTACACAACTGAAGCCATGTTGATCATCTCTGAATTTTAATATTTCATTCCTTCAAAGCATAATGATTTCTTTAATCTGATAGTATGTTATTCCTTATCTCCTGCCTCCTTATCCCACTGCCTCCTTATCCCCCTGCCTCCTTATCTCCTGCCTCCTTATCCCACTGCCTCCTTATCCCACTGCCTCCTTATCTCCTGCCTCCTTATCCCACTGCCTCCTTATCCACTGCCTCCTTATCCCCCACTGCCTCCTTATCCCCACTGCCTCCTTATCCCACTGCCTCCTTATCTACTGCCTCCTTATCCCACTGCCTCCTTATCCCACTGCCTCCTTATCCCACTGCCTCCTTATCCACTGCCTCCTTATCTCCTGCCTCCTTATCCCACTGCCTCCTTATCTCCTGCCTCCTTATCCCACTGCCTCCTTATCCCACTGCCTCCTTATCTCACTGCCTCCTTATCTCCTGCCTCCTTATCCCACTGCCTCCTTATCCCACTGCCTCCTTATCTCCTGCCTCCTTATCCCCTGCCTCCTTATCCCACTGCCACACAGGAAGATGTCATTGCCATGCAAACAAATCAGTCTTTAAGAAACACCAGGTAGTAACTGAAATATATCCTGCAAATACACCCATATAAATCATAGTTTCAAAAGCTCACATAAACTGGTACTCAAATGAAATGTTTTCCAAAAACATATTGCAATTATCAGTAATGATTTTAATTTTCTTGGACCCTTTTCACTGACACTAAAAAATATCCAGTATGTGTTTTGAGTGTTATATTTAATATGTCAATCAGTTCTGAAACCACATGTTTGCAAAACAGAGTTTATAAATTTCATAAATAATTAAGTGTATGTCTGTTTGTTGTTTGCTGAAATACATCAATACTCCGACCATTTGATGGTCGAATGTAAACAATCCGATCTTGACCACACAATCCAGGGACAACTTGTTTAGAAGTTGGAGTTCTGAGGAAGGATAACAATATATGGATGAATTGTAATAAAGAAGTTGTTAATCCATATATTCGACACACTAGACAGATTTGATTCGGAAGTCGCGGTGGCTGAGCCGGGTTAGGCAGCTGACTTTGTGTGCTGGCGATTAGGTGACTGACCCTAAGGGTGTGGGTTCAAATCCTGCATGGGCCTCAATCCCCAAAGTATTTTTTTTATTATAGGATATTTATACAGCACATATCCATGCACTAGTGCATGCTCCCGGCGCTGGAATTTTTTCCCAATCATTAGATGTCAATCTCAACTACATCGTTTATCAATCTCAACTCCTGGGGAGTACACAACTCTTGCAGTCAAACGAGTTATTGTGGCTTTCATCCTAACGAGGTACCCATTTACAGCTGGGTGGACTGGGACACATAGTCACAGTACTTTGTCCATGTTCACTGCCTGTTGCTGCACCCGCAACTAGGTGTTTGCACATATTCATGTGGCCACCATCTGGTCAAATACCAACAGATTCGTGGGTTCTTTTAAGTGCACAGGGTTGTGTACTGTACACTAGGGGTTGTGACAACACTGGAAAGAGTCTGCACACAAAGTTGACTCCAAGGTTTTACACCCGGTCAGGTGGGCTCGAATCCCGACACCTTAACCTCGCTGGATCACTTGCCTGGCCTTAGCCAGCTTCACTTACACAGCCCCCAAAAGTACTAAAATTTGCACTTTACTAAGAAAGTTTAATCCCAAATATAACATATGTTACATTTGACCACTTTCTAAAATGGCATTGTGTAATCACATTTGATTCTGTTGGAACTAAGAGAGGTATGTGGACTTTGATATGTAACGCAAGAAAGGCTAAATGTGTCTTCAATTGGTGCAATATATTAAAACTGGCACGTTTGGTTTTTCACATTTATGTAAAATCAGTTCCATTGGCAATATCAGACATCCAAAGCTTCTGTCCTCCGTATTTGAGTATCTTTCACTCAGTAGTCAGTAAGGTTTCTCAGGTATGACAGTGGACTGAAAATAATAATCAGGGCCTAGATTTTCGAAGCTCTCTTAACGCTAAGATAGTCGTAAGTGATACATCAACATTAACTTACAACTATCTTAGCGCTAAGAGAGCTTCGAAAATCTAGGCCCTGGACCACACAAACCTTAGTCTGTCTCACAGTCCCTGAACCACATTACTTCCCCTACTGCCTAGCCCTCTCTGCAATGCTAAGCCCTGAATGATACAAGACCAGATCTGGGATTTACCCTAAGTTCTGTATTTGAGGGTCCCTGGGACTCAAGCTTATAATTTTCAGGGGTCCTGGACAACAAAATGGGGGTTCCAGACACTTAAATATTATTACTAATACTGTTATTGTATTGTGCATCATGATCAACACTTTAATTGTTACAGTTATGAAATTGCAAATGATACCATAACTCAGCTTGTAGCAAACTCAGTGATAACTTATTGCCACTTGATTGGAATTTTTACAAAAGTATTTGGACTTTTTCTGCGTCCCTGTGGATGCTCTAATCAATTTTGTTGTGTCCACTGTCAATTTTTATGCGTATAGGACGCAGGAATTCGCATCCTGTAAATCCCTGACCAGATTTCATCAGCTTCAATCTCCCATCTCACTGGGGCTCCTTTTCAGTTTAAATGGAATTCTTTGTTACTATTAAAATTCGATATATTCTGAGACTAAGTGTTAGTCTACACAGTCCTGTAACTGATGTTATAAACAACACAGACAAAATTATCAAATTATGACTCCATAGACCAATGTGGTTTTATTAACCAGGCATGAATCCGGAATGATTTCCACAGAATTCCACAGAAAAAACTCAGACGAGAAAATTTTCCAAAGATAGCCTGCACATACATCACACTAGGTGTTACAGAGGAAAATATGAAGTGGCAATATGGAGGACTTCAAGGAAAGCTCATCAAGGGACATAACTGATAACTCCTCATCTGGATACCACCAAAGGGAATTATCTCCCCTTTGTTTTTCTAAGGATAGTCTGTAATAGTCCGTGAAGTGGAGGAGGAAATGGCTGGTACAACCAAGAGGGAACGTTTACGCCAATAAGTATATATATATTCAGCGACTAAATGTTAGTCTACACAATCCCGTGACTGATATTATGAACAACATCAACACCATCAACCGAGTCTGACCATCTCACACATTTCGCCACCTCATACAACAGCACAGGCTGATGGGAAATATTCTAAACCGTTCTTGAAGCCACTATCTTGAATGTGTATAGACGAGACACATGAAGCAACAACAGAGTGTATACAGGGCTAAAAGCAGGTTAAGCAGATAAGACTTGATATTATGCTGTAGACAATTAGTATTTTAGTCTGATCGCTAAGTTTGAAAATAAAAAAAACTGACCTGTCTTGACTTGTTTGATTTCGGCTGAGAAAAGAAACACAAAGTTGACCTCAGTCAACAACAGCTGAGTCAGCTCGAAAGTAAACGCAACCCCCCACCCCCGAAACATGTTGTTATAGGTTATACTACACCAAACAGACTCTAATTTAACAGCACTTTTCGTAAGGAGCCTTCAGTGCAGACAGAATCATCAGACAGCTGTGATTGGATGATCTTGTGGAACATTTTTGTGTTTATCAAATGTACTTCCATCTGATAATTATAACCCAGATAGCATTCAGACGTTGGCCCAACGTTGACAATGGTTTTGCCAACATTGCCAACGTTGGGCCAACGTCCGAATGCTATCTGGGAAGTAATATTTTTCAGTATTTAGTGCTGTCTTTTTTAACACAATGACTTCTGCCGAATGTGAGATATTTCCAAGCAGGTGACATATGGTGTGGAACTGGGGTTGGTGTGTTCAACATCCTGTACCCTATTCTTGGAAAAGGAATGAGTTAACCTGGTCAACATTTGTGTTTTTATTGTGCCTTTAAGGCCATACTATACATGTAATGGTTGTTCACTACCCGGTTACTATTCCAGACAATATAATGTTACTATGGAAGTCTAAGGGAAAACAGGTTTGTCAGTACCTTACCACTATCAGTACCTCCTGGATTCCGCGACAAATTTTTAAGAATTCCACTGCAAATTTAAGTAAATTCTGCATTCAACATTCAAAATAAGCAAATTCCATTGCAATTTCCTGCTGACTTGGGACCATATACCTGAGCAGGTCTCGACAAATCCCTGATTTCTCAAATAAACATCATAAACAATATGAAATAAAAGAAACATTTATACACAGCGCCTCTGTCATACGCTGGTACAGAAACAACAAAGTAGGAAGTAGCTACTTCAGTTACAGAGAGCAATGGTAGAAATATAACAATACCAACTACACTGCTCAATGTTAGACAGACACACAACTGACATATTCATCATTGAAAAATAACATTGTCAAACGGGGATGACACTAAACCAGAAACATAAAGCACAAATAGTAATACTATGGTGCGCCCAATGAGTGAGTGAGTGAGTGAGTTTAGTTTTACGCCGCACTCAGCAATATTCCAGCTATATGGCAGCTGTCTGTAAATAATCGAGTCTGGACCAGACAATCCAGTGATCAACAGTATGAGCATCAATCTGCGCAATGCACGCCCAATGAACAGCCTGATAGTTAGCATTTTGTCCACCAGGCTAAACCTCAGTAAACACAACCTTCTCACTGCCATTCAAGAGTCAAGAATTTCAAACACGAAGCACTATCAACACATCATCCAGCCTGTTCTTGATTTTGATTATTCTTCAATGTTTCATCTATAAACATAAAAGTTTGGTCTTGTTTCACAATAAGGGCTGTTGCGGGAGCCCAGTAGATAAGGAGCTTGCTTATCAAACTGAAGACTTAGGTTTGATTCCCTTCTCACTTCACAAAAAACAATCTGTAAACCATCAACTAAAAAGGGCATGGCCTTCTTCCATCTTCCCCTGTTAGTACTGGTGTCGACACCTACATGCCGCCATGTTGCTGAGTGACATGTTACAACTGCTGGTAGCACCAAACAAGCTCCCCAACTGGGCCCTGTCCCACGTAGCAATCTCCATGCTAAGGTGATCGTAACTCCCTAACCTTAACAAAGGCTTACGATTGTCGTAGCGCTAAGATTGCTTGGTGGGACGGGGCCGAGACATCAAAGCGCAGGTGTAGTGGCATTGTGTGCGGTGAACAGAGGCAGGTGAGTTCATGTTGCTCAGGTACGCATGCAATTATTTGGAGCTTCGTACGATGTAATGGTGTCTAAGTCATCTGGTTCATTCCACACTGTCATGACTGTCTTGTAGTCACTGATGCATAGTAATTTGGCTCATCAGTGACATCAGTGTCCGATGCAATCCCTATTTTGACTCCTACCATACATTTCAATGACTAACCTTTGTAAATGTTTATGTTTAGGATGGTTGCCATCGGTGGGACACCTGTTTGTGAACACCCGGTATCGTCATTAGTTTAACAGCAATTCATAAACACATGCTCATGATACAGTCGTAACTGTACAATCAACTCTTTCGTATAGATATGGAAGGTTTTATTACTTTTATTGTAGTGCAAAGATGGCTTTGCCCTGGATTCTTAAGTATAATATGATCGTAACTGTTACACAAATGTACAATATTTTCAGCAATAAGATCACATTGGAATGGGTTTGTTTGTTGCTAAAATCTGCACTCTACACTTTTTTTTCTTTAAATACACAAACCGTTAAACTGAACCTGAGCCAGGAGGCGAGGATGTAGACTGGTGTATGTTTGGGGGTGCTTGTTTGATGCTAACACAAACATGTTCACACAGCAATCTCATGATAATAACCTTTTTCTTTTTCAATGAAAAATACAAGCTAATATTCTGTTATGAATGTTATCAAGACAAAATTAAATGTTATAAACACCAAATAAATGTTAAGACCAGATTGAACCTTATCCAGACCAGATTAAACTTTCTGAAGACCAGAAAGTTAAGATCAGAATTATGATGTTAATCATGAAACGTCAACATCCTGATGAGGGTTGGTTGAGTAGCCTAGTGGTTAAAGTGTTCACTCGTCATGGCAAAGACCTGGGTTCGAGTCCCCACATGGTTACAATGTGTAAAACCCATTTCCGGTTTCCCCCGCTGTGACATTGCCGGAATATTGGTAAAATCAGCATAAAACCATTCTCTCCCACTCACTCACTGCCTTGACAGTTATTGCAAAGACCACTCAATCACTAATAAGATAAACTATTACAAAGAAAATAACAAAGATAAACTTGACTTAAAATGTGATAAATTACATATTGACAGAAAAGCCACACAGGTTGATATAAGCTGAGCATCCTTCAACACTGGTCACCAGAATTCAGAGTAGTGAACACAAGAGACAGTCACCAAGCCAAGGAAGGAAGCACTCACTCTTGACTGATCAGAAAAGAGAATCTGTTGATAGTTTCTATATACCGAAAGCACACCCAACTCATAATTGCATTAGTTTAATGTGATTTTGTAAAGTATTTCATTTTGTGATTAATGTGAAACAAAGTCCAAGTACCAAAGATCCCAGTTCTAAGTTTGGTGAAACATAAAAGCATGGATATATTGACAAAAGATCATGATTTTAGGATTTGAAACCAGCTACTACTGAATCCTGGCACTACAAAGGGACACAACTCTGCACGATGATCTGATGTCATGTTTGACGGATATGCTCCCAGAAGAGCATCTAGCTTAAGTGATCTACCTTACATACAACTTAAACATTCACTGAGCTAAAGCCTGATATGAATAAAACCTTGTGTCTGATTGTGAATCGATTAAAACATATAAATGAAAATAGAGAACATTACCAAGAAAATCGTTTTCACAGAATTTGTAAAGGGGAATAAATAACGATTATATATTTGTGGTCAGTGGTCACTTCATTGCTACGTAATTTTCAAAAGGAAATCTGTACCCTCTGGATCCCTCCTTAGGACATTGTCTACACTATTCAATGATCATGATATAATCTCCCAACAACAACAAAATCTACTTATGATCAACAAGTATGGAAGGAGGTGAGGTGAAGTGAAATTGGGTTTTTACGTCGTGCTTGAGAATATTTCGCTCATATGACGACGTGCATGCATGTGTATGTGTATGTGCGGCTGCTTGTACTAGCCCAGACTTAAGCTGGTTTTATAGTGCTAGCCCACTGAGATACCATGCTGCAGTGAAGCATAAATACCCCACTCAGACACATTATACTGACTCCGAGCTGACCAGTCCTTGTTGTACCCATTAATGCCGAACGCCAGGCAGGGACCAACAAGTACCATATTTTAACGTCTTTTTGGTATGACGCGGTCGGGGATCGAACCCGCGACCTTCCGCTCTCCGGGCGGACGCTCTAACCACTACTCAAAGTATGGAAGGAGGGAGAAATATAATAAATAATAAAAATAAGTCCTAAAAACATCCCAGACCAGGTAAAAAATCTGCAAAATACTGAACACTGATCTGCTACAAGTTTTAGTGTAAGAAAACCTGACTGTATATAACATGTGGTGCTAACAGGGGGTAACAGCAGGAGGGGCGTATGAGGGGAAACGGGGCTTCCACCCAGGGAATATTGGTTGTATTTCCGACACCTGGTTGCCATGCATCTCTCTGGGATATATTCAAAACAATCTGCATGTTTGTGTGTTGTATAAAACCCCACTCAGCAATTTCCAGCTGTATGCCGTGGTCTGTAAATAACTTCATCTAGACCAGACAAGCAATTAATTGATCTCGTAAGTTCCTCCATCCCACTGCATAAACTAGCCCTTATCTATCCTTATCTAAGCTAATTGCTGATTATTTGATTATAACATTACATATCTTCACTAAACTATGAATACATGACACGTTTATATGGATAACAACTTAAACGTTGTATAAAGAATAAAAAGTTGTTATCCATCAAAAGTGTCATGCATTCATGTTTGTCAAACTTCTAGATGCCTTTCAAGAATTTCAGTAAACTAGTCTAAGTGCAAACTTAATTTGACCAGTCCTCAGAGTTTGTAAAAGTTCTGCAAGAACAAGGCGAATATGTTTACTATGTGTACTTTTTCTGGCAGGTTTAATCACTACCAATTTGCAGAAAACTTGAGAAGTATGACTTGATTTGTACTTGTCCTAGTACACTTTTGTAGAGTCATTTTGACGTTTGCGCAGGTTGTTAATCACTAAAAGTTAGTTTTAAAAATATTAAATAAAAATATGATGCATTGAAGCACTGAAAATGTTAATGAGTATTTGAAAAAAGATTTGTGTGCAAAAGAAAAAATGATGCATATCCAAAAACAGCTTGCATGTTTCTCCAGAAGAAAACCAGTTTGTAGGAAAATGTAATCAAAAGTCCTCACACTGCCTGTAGGTGTTTTTGAGCAGGCAATCAATCCCAGATTAAACATACAACATGTCTCTATGGTAATTTCCTCGAATGTCATTTGAGATGTACAATATTGAACAAACTCAATGGATAACAATTTCTTTTATTTAGTGAGTGCGATGTTCCTGCCTGACAATGGAACAAGAATCGCATCGCAAACGTCGCTACTCACATCTGCAAAAATAAGTAAAGGAAGTTGTTATCCATAAAGTTTGTTCAATATTGTTTCTACTCAAAAGGTAATTTTGAAGGTTTTTTTCAGTGGGTTCTTATTTTTCGGGCATGGAAATGACATGACGCTTCAACCACTAGGCTACCCAACCGCCCCGATATGTAAGTAGAAGTGATGGTCAGTTGCAGGTGTTGATTTCAGACTATATTGTATACATACACAGGTATTCAGTTGTTAATATTGCATATCATAACAAACCAAACATTAGTACTCTATGATCTGTTAAATGTTAACATGTTCTAATCAGTTCACACTCTCACAATATCTGTCTACCTGGAAAAAATATGTCCTTTTTGTCTGAACATTCAAACATAAGTAATTTTGCAATAAGTGAACACCAGAGTTTCAGAAAAATGAAACGTGGTCATATAGATACAAAACTAAGGATTCCCTTTTCTGAAATGATTTTTGATGAAATCAACAGGATTAGATAAAATGAATCTAAAAAATGTCAGCTGTTTTCTCATCCATGCTTTTTCTTCCTACTTAAACAGAAATTTGAAAAGAAATACGATGAAAGTCAAACTATTAATATCAAATAAACTGTATTAATATCATACTTCAAATGTAAGTAACTTCATTATAACGCATACTAGGTTAATTCTAATATCGCTTCCACAAATCCTGTGCATCTATGTCCCATGTCTTCTAGTGTAACATAATGTGTTGCAGGAATTATCAAAATCAGTAGTCATAGCAACAGTGTTGACCAGTGTGATGCAGATGTAGGGGTTGTCTCAAAAGTTGCAAATTCAAAAATGAAACTTTGTTTGAGGGTATTTGGACTCTCCCAACAGGAAACAATCATGCAGAATAATCCAGCCGCCATTTTCTTGTGAAAGGGTAAGGGAAATAAACACAAACAAAAGTTCCACTAGGGACCATTTCATTTCAGACTGGAACCTGTGATGTTTACATCCTATTATTTGGAAATTATTATCTTTCCACAAAGTCAAGGAAAAATCAGTTTTTATTCAAAAAATATTTTTACCAGGCTTGAGCTGAAGAAAAGAGGTGGTCCCTAAATATTTGATGGAACAACCTTTGAGACAATCCCTCTAAAGTCAGTATGGGTCGGTAGCAAGAGAGGCAGCTAGGTCTCAAGCTCGTCACTTATGTAGTCCAACCAACATGTTCAGAAGAACATACTCACTGTCTTAGAATTTTTATCCTGAAACTTTTGAGAAAAACAAACATGTAATGCTTTCGTTCCCATCATGCAACACACATAACTAAGGATTAGTCCCATGAGAAGAACTAGCGACAAAGTTACCACGCGAGAGGATGTCTCCATCTTTACCTGTTAAGATGGTTTGGATTGGTTAATGAAAGTCTGTGATGTTGATACACAGCACACTTAGGTTAGCAAGAAATAAAACCGTTATTTCCCCATACACCGTGTAAATATCAACTTTATTCCCAAGAATTACACCCCAAAACAACGCTTAAGACCCTTGAATCTTCACAGATATTAATTTTGCTTTTAAGAAGAAAAAAGAGTTAGTTCCAATCTAACTGGGGACTGTCTCAAAAAATAATGACTTAACAATATCCAGAAGGCATAGTTTCATTAAAAAAAATATTGATACCATTCAAAGGCCCCAAAAAATCATGCAAGATCAATTTTAAATTACTATGATTTTAGATGCTTTAAACTATGCTTAAGTTGAATTAATAATGATAACAATCCTGTTTCAAATTGCCTTATCAATAAAATGTCAAAAGATTTAAGTACATGAAATTCAAAGATATTGTTTTGAGACAGACCCTGCAGAGCACACAAAGCACACACAGAGACAGAAGCCTTCTCACCTGTATCCCTCGGTCGGTGTTGGCGTAGTTGTTGACGATGGCCAGACTCTCCTGGAAGCGCGTTGTACTGAGGAGCATCACGTCCCCGATCAGCTGGGACACGGAGATGATCACCTGTAATATATATCCATATATGGTCATAGCTGTACGTACACATGGGGCATACATGCCATATATGGTCAAAGCTATACCAGTGTATGTTTCACAGTAAAATAAAGCCACTACAATTACAGCCTCTTCAAGGTAATAATCCCACTTTGTGAATAATAATTTTAGGACATCGTTATTATTAATTTCATTGTCATCACAGCTTCATTTTGTACATGCAAGTACATCATATTCAAGTCAACCCACCAGTGTTACACCTGTAATAGTGAATGAGTTTAGGTTTATGCCGCTTTTGGCAATATTCCAGCAATATCACAGTGGGGGGACACCAGAAATAGGCTTCACACATTGTACCCAAGTTGGGAATCGAACCTGAGACTTCGGCGTGACAATCAAACACTTTACCCACCTGGCTACCCCAAGGCACCCTACACCAGTAATACATCAAGACAGATGTTTTGCACATGATGTCATGGAATACATTATCAAGGACATATCAAGGCTTTTGGTTGTTTTCAGGCCGTGACACGGCAGATTCAAAATAAAGGGGGTTAGAGGTTCAGGTGAGGTTATCACACACACCTGCAGGTGTACTCTGGTGAAGCTCTTCTTGTTGGAGTACTCGGAGTTGGTCCTCATCAGTAGGTACAGTAGGGCACACGCCTCCCTCCGCGTCGAGTTGAGCTTGGAGCTGCAGCAGCGCAGGATCTACACAACACAGGGAGGGACCATGTCAAGGAGTGAAGATGAGTGAGGGAGGGACGGGGTCTAGAGGAGGGTGTGGGTGAGCTGGGGTGAGTGAGTGAGTTTAGTTTTACGCCGCACTCAGCAATATTCCAGCTCTATGGCGGCAGTCTGTAAATAATCGACTCTGGACCAGACAATCCAGTGATCAACAACATGAGCATCGATCTGCGTAATTGGGAACTGATGACATGTGTCAACCAAGCCAGAGAGACTGACCACCTGATCCAGTTAGTTACATCTTACGACAAGCATGGGTTACTGAAGGTTCATTCTAACCCAGACCTTGACGGGTCAGGTGAGCTGGGGGTAGAACTGGGGGTGAAAGTATTGGAGTTGGGGTTGGAGTTGGGAGCTGGGTTGTGTAGGGTGGTGGAGTTGGTTGAGGTAGTTTGAGGCCTTTTGAGGTTGTATGGAGCGGAGTGGAGTGGAGTGGAGTGGAGTGGAGTGGAGTGGAGTGGAGTGGAGTGGAGTGGAGTGGAGTGGAGTGGAGTGGAGTGGAGTGGAGTGGAGTGGAGTGGAGCGGATTTAGTTTTCACCAGTGTGGGAGGCAATTAGTGGCCGCTTGGAGGTTGTTTGAGGTTGTGTGAGGTTGAGCGGAGTGGAGTTGAGTAGAGCGGAGCAGAATAAGTGGTGTGGAATGGAATGAGAAGACGATATTTTTGCCAGTGTGGGAGGCAATAAGCGACCACTTCGATGAATACATCACAGAGTCTCACAAATAAATAAATGCAATTCCCATTTCACTTTCTAATTCAAAGTAATTTCACATGTTGTCTGTTAAACCCCAAATACTGGTGAACCTGCCATACCGATGATTCATGTGTTAAATCATATAACATAAACACAGAACTTCACCAGGAAAAAACTTTGCCTCAGCTGAGTGATGTCTTATCAAATTGTGAATTAACAAACATACCTCATAACAGAGTTCCCCACACATGGAGGCGCTCCCCTTGAACAAGGCGATCTGGAACTGTACATACACACACATGACATAACAGCATGGAAGGTCAGTGTCGTTACACCATCCAGCAGCAAGACTGAATGCACAAATATTTATCCCATTATTCTTAATTCAGTACTTTCATGTGTAATTGTCTGTGGTGAAACATCAGTTTCCATTCTGCTGAGTGAGACTATTTTACACAAGTAATTAGGGTATATACCTTCCATATTTCACACAAGTTTTGGTAACTAAACAATATATATCTGCTATATTAAACACAAATAACTTTCAGGTTACTTGCTTGATAACGGTGTTAGAACCTACACCGAAACGTCGCTCTCAAAGCAATAAAGCAGTTGTTCATCCATATATGGTTATCCTTCCTTACTGCCCCAACTTCTAAAATGCCTCTGAAAGAAGTTAACTTCAGAATTCCAAATTTACTGTACCGAGCTGGGAGTACACCTCCTGTATTATACACAAATAACTATCCCTAGCTGAGAGTATAGCCTCCCATTTTACAAACAAGTAACTGTTCCCAGCTGGGAGTATAGCTCCTATATCAAACACAAGGAGGTCACCTTCTTTATGAAGCCTCTGAGTGCAGCAAACACATGCTTCTGCAGCGTCTCTGATTGGCTGGTTCGCAGGAACGTCAGGTACAGGCGGAACACAGCCTTCATCGGGGCGTTCTCCCCCTCCCTGGCCTCCATGTCTTTCTGTAATACATGGAAACACATGATGATACGCAAGTTTACCACACAGGGAGATATATGAACCACCACAAGACATCAACCACACATGGTGATCTACCACATACAGTGATGTACCAAAGTGTATGTAGCGTCTTCATCAACTGCTGGACATACACAAAACCAGTATACAGTTGAGGAAAATCAACTTTTAATGACTTGAATCAAATTTGATTGGACAACCTACTCTCTTTTTAATTTCACAGCATATGTACTTAGTATCCTCAATGCAAAGGAAATAAACTAAGACATTATATACGTCAAGCTATAACAAGAGACTGTGGTTGAGAATCGTATGAAGCAACTCCGTTAACTGTGTTTAGACAAGCACCTGCCACTAGAGGGGTCACGACCTGATGTGACTGACCTTGAAGTACTGACAGTAGAGTCCAAGGATGTCTAGGACCACCAGGCCCACCTCCGTGGTCATGTTGGCCTCCTTCAACGCCCGCATCATTGCATCCGCATCAGAAGAAGTTGGTGCTGAAATACATTGAATAAAAGTTGGCATCAGAATAAGGGATAATAAGAGATATCTATTGTATAAAAGTTGTGTCTATGAATAAGAGATATAGCTATTGTATAAAAGTTGTCCATGAATAAGAGATATAGCTATTGTATAAAAGTTGTCTATGAATAAGAGATATAGCTATTGTATAAAAGTTGTCCATGAATAAGAGATATAGCTATTGTATAAAAGTTGTCCATGAATAAGAGATATAGCTATTGTATAAAAGTTGTCCATGAATAAGAGATATAGCTATTGTATAAAAGTTGTGTCCATGAATAAGAGATATAGCTATTGTATAAAAGTTGTGTCCATGAATAAGAGATATAGCTATTGTATAAAAGTTGTGTCCATGAATAAGAGATATAGCTATTGTATAAAAGTTGTGTCCATGAATAAGAGATATAGCTATTGTATAAAATTGTTGAAAAGTCTGTGTCCATGAATAAGAGATATCCATGAATAAGAGATATAGCTATTGTATAAAAGTTGAGTCTATGAATAAGAGATATAGCTATTGTATAAAAGTTGTCCATGAATAAGAGATATAGCTATTGTATAAAAGTTGTCCATGAATAAGAGATATAGCTATTGTATAAAAGTTGTGTCCATGAATAAGAGATATAGCTATTGTATAAAAGTTGTCCATGAATAAGAGATATAGCTATTGTATAAAAGTTGTGTCCATGAATAAGAGATATAGCTATTGTATAAAAAGTTGTGTCTATGAATAAGAGATATAGCTATTGTATAAAAGCCATGAATAAGAGATATTGTCCATGAATAAGAGATATAGCTATTGTATAAAAGTTGTCCATGAATAAGAGATATAGCTATTGTATAAAAGTTGTCCATGAATAAGAGATATAGCTATTGCTAAAAGTTGTATAAAAGTGTCCATGAATAAGAGATATAGCTATTGTATAAAAGTTGTGTTGAATAAGAGATATAGCTATTGTATAAAAGTTGTCCATGAATAAGAGATATAGCTATTGTATAAAAGTTGTCCATGAATAAGAGATATAGCTATTGTATAAAAAAGTTGTCCATGAATAAGAGATATAGCTATTGTATAAAAGTTGTCCATGAATAAGAGATATAGCTATTGTATAAAAGTTGTCCATGAATAAGAGATTAGTCCATGAATAAGAGATATAGCTATTGTATAAAAGTTGTGTCCATGAATAAGAGATATAGCTATTGTATAAAAGAATAAGAGATATAGTCCATGAATAAGAGATATAGCTATTGTATAAAAGTTGTGTCCATGAATAAGAGATATAGCTATTGTATAAAAAGTTGTGTCCATGAATAAGAGATATAGATATTGTGTCCATGCTATTGTATAAAAAGTTGTGTCCATGAATAAGAGATATAGCTATTGTATAAAAGTTGTGTCCATGAATAAGTGATATAGCTATTGTATAAAAGTTGTCCATGAATAAGAGATATAGCTATTGTATAAAAGTTGTGTCCATGAATAAGAGATATAGCTATTGTATAAAAGTTGTCCATGAATAAGAGATATAGCTTGTATTGTCCATGAATAAGAGTATAGCTATTGTATAAAAGCCATGAATAAGAGATATAGCTATTGTATAAAAGTTGTCCATGAATAAGAGATATAGCTATTGTATAAAAGTTGTCCATGAATAAGAGATATAGCTATTGTATAAAAGTTGTCCATGAATAAGAGATATAGCTATTGTATAAAAGTTGTCCATGAATAAGAGATATAGCTATTGTATAAAAGTTGTCCATGAATAAGAGATATAGCTATTGTATAAAAGTTGTCCATGAATAAGAGATATCGCTATTGTATAAAAGATGTGTCCATGAATAAGAGTGAGTGAGTGAGTTTAGTTTTACGCCACACTCAGCAATATTCCAGCTATATGGCGGCGGTCTGTAAATAATTGAGTCTGGACCAGACAATCCAGTGATCAACAGCATGAGCATCGACCTACGCAATTGGGAACCGATGACATGTGTCAACCAAGCCAGCGAGCCTGACCACCCGATCCCGTTAGTCGCCTCTTACGACAAGCATGGGTTATTGAAGGTTCTTTCTATTCCGGACCTTCACGGGTCGCCATGAATAAGAGATATTGATAATGAATAAATGTGGTGCCAATGAATAACAGATATCACTATTGTATAAAAGTTGTGTGTATAAAGATCAGGGTTTGTTATTGAATGAATAACATATGTTGTTTTTGAATAAATGTTGTATCTGTGAATAAGAGTTTCTGTTCTTGAATCAGGGTAGTTGTTATGGAAAGAAATGTTTCTGAATCATATGTTTGTCAATGAAAAAGACTTGCTGTTTCTAAAAAGATGTCACTGACGAAAAATTGTATGAGTGTTTGAAAATTCATGCCTGATCAATCACTGATTACAGGGAACCGTGGGAACAATCGACTCACTGTGGAAGCCGTCCACGACATCACTATACATGCTGGTCCGTCCCGACGACAGGCTGGATCCAGGAATAGACTTCCTGCTGGACGGCAGGGACAACGCCTTCTTTGATGTGTCACCGATCATGCTGCAGAACAGAATAGAGTTAAAATAAGTCAAGTTATAATAATGTAATTTTTCAATTAAAATTGGTATTTTATACTTATCCTGATTCATGATCTTTTGCTTATCTCCCTTTCCCTTGTGAATGGTAGTGGAAACACTTGAATCCCTTGAAGTTCCCAAAGTGGACGTAAAAATACACGCACCCACGAGTTACCTCCCTTTTCCCACGCAAACAGTCATGTGACCAGCCTTACTTGTCACTCTCTCCCTTTTCACCTGAGTGGATGGTTGGGTGAGCACTGGAGTCCCGTATACGGCATTATAAGATAAGAGTCAGGATAAGAAAAATTTACGATATTTCATTCATCAACTGAATGTTCATGCCTACATTAGTACCCAGTCAATGGCTACATTAGTACCCAGTCAATGGCTACATTAGTACCCAGTCAATGGCTACATTAGTACCCAGTCAATGGCTACATCAGTACCCAGTCAATGGCTACATTAGTACCCAGTCAATGCCTACATTAGTACCCAGTCAATGCCTACATCAGTACCCAGTCAATGGCTACCTCAGTACCCAGTCAAAGCCTACATCAGTACCCAGTCAATGCCTACATTAGTACCCAGTCAATGGCTACATTAGTACCCAGCCAATGCCTACCTCAGTACCCAGTCAAAGCCTACCTCAGTGCCCAGTCAATGCCTACATCAGTACCCAGCCAATGCCTACATCAGTACCCAGTCAATGCCTACATCAGTACCCAGTCAATGCCTACATCAGTACCCAGCCAATGCCTACATCAGTACCCAGTCAATGCCTACATCAGTACCCAGTCAATGGCTACATTAGTAACCAGTCAAAGGCTACATTAGTACCCAGTCAATACCTACATCAGTACCCAGTCAATGCCTACATCAGTACCCAGTCAATGGCTACATTAGTACCTTGTCAATGGATAAGTGTACACTTGATTTTCATTCCCAGCTCCCTGGGAATCATACAACCATTGTACCAGTGAGGTGCAAGAAGGATAACATTGCCTGACAACTACCATCAAACAGTTTTCATTTCATCAAGTTCTCTACAGCTTGACCTCTGAAAATGAATTTAGCGTGGTACTTGTGACCTCTCTAAACCAGGAGTCCACCAACCTGAGTGTGTAGATCCTCTTCCTGCCCTGGTATCGGAACTGATGCAGGCACACTCTGGAAGATAATACAAGCACTGAGTTATGATGCTCTGGATAACACAACATACATGATGCTCTGGATAACACAACATATATGATCTGGATAACACAACATATATGATGCTCTGGATAACACAACATACATGATGCTCTGGATAACACAACATACATGATGCTCTGGATAACACAACATATATGATGATCTGGATAATACAACATACATGATGCTCTGGATAACACAACATACATGATGCTCTGGATAACACAACATACATGATGCTCTGGATAACACAACATACATGATGCTCTGGATAACACAACATACATGATGCTCTGGATAACACAACATACATGATGCTCTGGATAACACAACATACATGATGCTCTGGATAACACAACATACATGATGCTCTGGATAACACAACATACATGATGCTCTGGATAACACAACATACATGATGCTCTGGATAACACAACATACATGATGCTCTGGATAACACAACATACATGATGCTCTGGATAACACAACATACATGATGCTCTGGATAACACAACATACATGATGCTGTGGATCACACAACATACATGATGCTCTGGATGACACAACATATATGATGCTCTGGATAACACAACATACATGATGCTCTGGATAACACAACATACATGATGCTCTGGATAACACAACATACATGATGCTCTGGATAACACAACATATATGATGCTCTGGGCAACACAACATATATGATGCTCTGGGTAACACAACATATATGATGCTCTGGATAACACAACATATATGATGCTCTGGATAACACAACATACATGATGTTCTGGGTAACAACATATATCATGCTCTGGATAACAGAACATATATGATGCTCTGGATAACACAACATACATGATGCTCTGGATAACACAACATACATGATGATCTGGATAACACAAGGCGATTAACGATTTTGTTTAGCAGATGTGAATTTCACCACTGCACATCCTGTTGCATGACTTACCCCAGTAATGTGAAGAAGTCCACAATATCATTTTCAGAGGAGTTGTTGAACCATCCCAGTAGAATATCTGGAGGTAACAAAGACAGACTTAGAAACAGAAGTCGTGGAGGGGGCAGTGGGCAGGCCCCAACAGACCAGGTCCTAGATGTTTTAAGCTCTCCTAGTGTTAGGAAGGTTGTAAGTGCCATACATTAACATTAACTTACGACTATCTTAGCTCTAAGAGAGCTTAAAAAATCTTGGCCTAGTCCTTGTTTTATCCCTTGATGCCAAGCACCAGACAGGGTAACAAGTAACGCCTTATCCCGTCCATTTTTATGACACAAGGTGGGAGCATCAAAGGACAGACAGTCCAAGCACACTCTGTATCCATAATCACAATGGCAGTCTAAAGGCCATAGTAACAGAAGTAGCAAATGTTAGTCACTCCGATATCATCATGACACAACTCCGCACAAGATGGTGGCTTGCCAAGCACAGCCCATACACAACTGTGAAGAGTCCACAATGCCAACTGCAAACAATCACCAAACATAGTGCTAAAACTGAAAAATCACTTTGTTCTCTGCCAAGAATGTCCTTAAAAATGATCAAGGAAAACAATGAATATCATCTTCAATTAATTATTCTTATCTTATTTTAATCTCAAATTGCCATCAGCTGCATGAGTGATGGAAAGCTTGAAACAACTGACATGAGCCAGCCAATCTTCGTGAAGTTGAGGTGAGGTGAAATTGTGTTTAACGTCGGGCTTGAGAATATTGCCGCTCATATGACGACATGCATGCGGGTGTATGTGTATGTGCGGCTGCTTGTACTAGCCCAGACTGAAGCTGGTTTTATAGTGCTAGCCCACTGAGATACCATGCTGCAGTGAAGCATGAATATCCCACTCAGACACATTATACTGACTCCCGAGCCGACCAGTCTTTGTTGTACCCATTAATGCCGAGCTCCAGGCAGGGAGCTCGCAAGTACCATATTTTAACATCTTTTGGTATGACGCGGTCGGGGATAGAATCCGCAACCTCACACGTTTCCGGGCGGACGCTATAACCACTACACCACGGAGGCGGTCAATCTACGTGAAAAAGAAAGGTAACGCTATATAGTGATGTCAACAATATCCTAGAAACTGGGTGATATAACAACACAATCTGACCTTCAGGGAGGTACTTGACGACGTATAAGTAGCAGAGGAGAAGGTCACGGATCTCGAGGATGTCCAGCTTGTCGTACCGGTGGAGGTAGGGTGATGGCGGGGCAGGGGTCAAGGTCGCTGTAGATTCACGTCTGGAGGAACAACAAAGGGGTCAGTAAGGTGCAATATCATCATGTCATAGAATCATACCATTACCCTTACTGAGTATACTGCACTGAACTTGACCAAGTTGGTTGCTTTGTTGTCAAAAGCACTCAGCAATATTCCAGCTATATGCGGTAGTCTTTATAAAATTGAGTCTGGACCCGACAATCCAGTGATCAACAGCATGAGCATTGATCTATACAATTGGGATACGATGTCAACCAAGTCAGCGAGCCTGACCACCCGATCCCATTAGTCACCTTTTACGACAAGCAAGGGTTGCTGAAGACCGGTTCTAACCCTTATCTTCAGCTTGAGCGAATAGATGAGTTTGGTTTAACACCACTTTCAGAATTTCAGACAGCGCGCCACTTGTCCAACAACATCACACTGAGAGAATGAAATCCGTGTGTCGAACTGTTTTCGTGAATACTGCAACATTTTGCCACTTTGAGATAGAAAATCATTGAACCTACCGACCATGTCCCTTCTCTGTTACATCCCGGTCTCCCTTCTCGGTGGAGGACGAGTCGTCACTGTTGATGGAGATACTCGACCCGTTCACTGTTCGTGACATCCCACCGTTCAGCTGCGGCATGGTGCTGGAATATGGCGTCACTGCAACACCACAAACATGATGAACATCCCAGAAGGATCCATGGATGCAGACAAGATAATTTGATATCTGTTATTTTGGATGTTTCTTGAATAGAAGTACATCATCTGAGCATCTTAAGGTACTACATACTTCTACACAAATTGCTGAAAGCTTAAAACTCTGAGGCTTGAAGACTGACCTTTGGTCCCAGAATGAAGATATCTTATATTAACATATACGTTATATTAAAATATAAACCTGAAGGCTGCTTCTCACTATATATTAGACATGGCTTCTTTTCCCGGAATTACCACATTTGAGGTTTTTGTTTGCTCCCAGGTTTTACTTTTCGTAAGTAAGACCTATTTCCCAGTTTTACTTTTGGTAAGTAAGACCTCTTCCCAGGTTTTACTTTTTCCTAACTCTATATTAACATCAACATTCAAATTCAGATGATATGTAGTGTTTGAAATCAATTGAAAAATATCGTTAAAGATCAACTTAAATGTGCAAATGTTTCCCTAGCAGGATTGAAACCGTATATTTCAGATTCATAAGCGGATGCTCTACCTCACAGCCACCGGGCCGACAAAGAACGAGGGTTGAATTATCTGTTTATAGTTAGGCCTACTGTCATAAAATTGATTTTACTAGCGCTTCAGTTACTGTTATGCAGCTTCATTATATGATCATCTAATTATCCATCATTGACGGTTTATATGTATAATAAAGCACTCCTCCTCGGTTATGGTTGGGAAAGTAAGCCCTCGACCATCGGTTGGAGAGAAGTAAGACCTCGAGCGCTACACGCTCTCGGTTTTACTTCTCCCCACCCTCCAGTCTCGGGTCTTACTTTCCCAACCATAACCTTGGAGTCGTGCTTTATCCTACACATATATGTCAAATTAAAGCTACTCTACAGGGCACAGACTCCGGACAAGGTACCACTTTAGAAGCTCCTCCACACACAGATATTATTTGAATAATTCATCATATGACATAAAACATAGAAATCAACTGGCTCTCCTGTTCTTTTTAACACAAATTATTCTTCAGTGGGTGATCAGCTGGATTCATTCCATTTTTTTAAATTAACCAATTTCACGACATGTAGTAATTCATAAAACCTCACCTCCACCAATCATATCAAAGACTGTTGATGAGGGACGTTGTTCTGGTGCTGGGGACGGAGGTGCAGGAGCCGGCTGTTTTGATTGGTTACTGGGTGGTTTCAGTCCATGAGCGTCACCATTAGCAACAGGGGCCTTGGGAGTCGTGCTGGAGGTTGGACTCTGAACATCCTTGATGAGGCGGTTTTTGTTCTCCAGCAGCACCGATATGAGAGGGAGATACAGGGCCGCGATTCGTCCTTGCTGGACCTTTTTGTCAAGAATATCACGTGATAATTACAAACATTTACCCCGTCATTACATAGCAGTAGCAACAATAGTCCTTATAATCTAAGTGAGAAAATATAAGTATATATAAATTAATAATTTTCAGAGTGTCAGTGGATAAGTTGGTGAGGGATTAGCAAATATAAGAATACTTGGGAGGTGAGGTGAGGTGAAATTGGGTTTAATGTTGGGCTTGAGAATATTTCGCTCATATGACGACGTGCATGCGTGTGTATGTGCATGTGCGTCTGCTTGTACTAGCCCAGACTTAAGCTGGTTTCATAGTGCTAGCCCACTGAGATACCATGCCGCAGTGAAGCATGAATACCCCACTCAGACACATTATACTGACTCCGAGCCAACCAGTCCTTGTTGTACCCATTAATGCCGAGAGCAAGAATACTTGGGAGGTATAGACCAACTGATATCATAAATATTTGTGTTTGGGATTGTTTATAATTTGGTGCACATTTAAAAAAATAATATGCTTGCATGATTTGTTTTATGGAATAATTCAGGGATACCACGCCTGGATACCACATCCAGTCGGAATACTTGACACTTCAATAATAGTGAGTGAGGTGAGGTGAAATTGGGTTTAACGTCGTACTTGAGAATATTTCGCTCATATAACGACATGCATGGGTGTGTATGTGTGTGTGCGGCTGCTTGTACTAGCCCAGACTTAAGCTGGTTTTATAGTGCTAGCCCACTGAGATACCATGCCGCAGTGAAGCATGAATACCCCACTCAGACACATTATACTGACTCCGAGCCGACCAGTCCTTGTTGTACCTATTAATGCCGAGCGCCAGGCAGGGACCAACAAGTACCATATTTTAACATCTTTTGGTATGACGCGGTCGGGGATCAAACCAGCGACCTTCCTCTCTCCGGGCGGACGCTCTAACCACTACACCACGGAGGCGGTCCAATAATAGCGAGTAATTGGGATGCCTTTAAAGCGATTCAGTTTTCATTTGTTTGTTTGTTGTTCAATGTCACACTCAGCAATATTCCAGCTATATCATGGTGGCCTTTAAATAATCGAGTCTGGACCAGATAATCCAGTGATCAACAGCATTGGGATACGATGACATGTGTCAACCAAGTCAGCAAGTCTCACCACCCAATCCTGTAGTTGACTCGACTCTTATGACAAGAGTGGGTTGCTGAAGACCAACTCTAACCCAGATCCTTCAGATTCAGACGTTACCAACTCGGTAAAATCCAACTGTAGTCATAGGATTCTGGAACACCTAAGGGACACAACTCTGCAATACAAATACCGCTGCCTTACATCACTGAGCCATCTACATCCTCACAAAGAGTCACAGTGGGACCAATCCACACTGAATCTCACCGTTTTAGTGTATCTATCATCGAAGGCGTGTTTGGCGAGCTGGTTGCGGAGCACGGTGATGGCACAGCGCCGCATGTCTCGGGGTTGGACCAGCGCCTGCTTCAGCTCATGAACGAGCAGCCCGACCAGGTAGTGAGTCTTCCGGAACTCATCCGACAGCGTGTAGTCCTGCCTCAGATCTGAAACACACCACACTTTGCACAGGTACTGTAGCAAAACCATCAACTGTCTTACACTCATGTACAGTACTACAAATCATAAAATATCTTCCTTTGTACTGAACATTTTTTAATTTAAATGTCAGATCGTTTTGGGTGACTGACAGGGCAAAGAAACAGTAATAGGATTTATGTCATTCGAGTATGATTAGCATGAATTCTTCACATACTGTCAATCACTTTTTGTCAAAATGATCGAGGCAGAGTTATTCAAATTCCTGAACAATTCCTTTACCAGTGTAAAGCAAAATATAGAATATTTACCAAGAGGTACCATTGCTAGTAAGCAGGACAGGTACTTAAAAGCTAATAGTAACATACATGTTCCTTCGGATCTAGCCTGGACATTGTCAATCTAGTCATTTAATTAGTAAAAGGTTTAATAATAACTGATTTTGAAATGTTCATATTTGACAAAATTCAGAAGAAAGTCCTCATTTCTATACAACTAACCCTTTTTCAAAAAGTGAAAACAGACATGAATTGGAGTGTAGCTTGATCATTACATTAAACCAAAACATGCCTTTATAACTCAGTCCTCAAAATTCATGCTGTTCAAATTTAATAAAAATATTTACACAAAATGAAAATATGACCAACCTCAAAGAAACCATGAATAATATGATTCATCATGCACCAAAAATGCTCTTGGTGAATATAAGATTATACAGCATACATGACAGTGTGATACAAGGTTTAATGTGGTAGTCGCTAGGCTAGATTTACAGTTATCATAATCTGGATGCATACATGTGAGTGAGTGAGTGAATCAGTGAGTTGATGACCTTCCTAAGCATCTTCATCATGGAATGTAGGAGGAAGGCCCAGCTTGATGTAGTTCATGGACATTTACTCCTTTGGTGGAACACTAAACCAGTGCTGACAAAAAGTAAAAACTGAAGCAAATCTTGGTCCAGCAGATCCTGACAAGACTAAGGGGCACAACTCTGAATTGAGAACTGCAGCACCTAATATGACTGGAATGTACTCTCAGAATGCATAAGTCCATTCTTAAGTGTGGGACTTACGATTGTCTTAGCACTATGACTGTCATAAGTGTATGTTAAAGCAGGGAGTTACGATTGTCTTAGACTGATGGATGTCCATGTTTAAGTACCGGGTATGTGACTTACGATTGTCTTAGCACTATGACTGTCACAAGTGTATGTTAAAGCAGGCAGTTACGATTGTCTTAGACTGTTGGATGTCCATGTTTAAGTACCGGGTATGTGACTTACGATTGTCTTAGCACTATGACTGTCATAAGTGCATGATAAAGCAGGGAGTTACGATTGTCTTAGACTGATGGATGTCCATGTTTAAGTACCGGGTATGTGACTTACGATTGTCTTAGCACTATGACTGTCATAAGTGCATGATAAAGCAGGGAGTTACGATTGTCTTAGACTGATGGATGTCCATGTTTAAGTACCGGGTATGTGACTTACGATTGTCTTAGCACTATGACTGTCATAAGTGCATGATAAAGCAGGGAGTTACGATTGTCTTAGACTGATGGATGTCCATGTTTAAGTACCGGGTATGTGACTTACGATTGTCTTAGCACTATGACTGTCATAAGTGCATGATAAAGCAGGGAGTTTCCATCGTCTTAGACTGTTGTAAGTCCGTGTTTAAGTATAGGACTTACAACATATGAGCACTAAGACTGTCATAAGTGCTTGTTAAAGTGGGGAGTTAAGACTATCGGATGTCCATGCTTAAGTATGGGACTTACGATTGTCTTAGCACTATGAGTGTCACAAGTGTATGTTAAAGCAGGGAGTTACGTTTGTCATCGACTGTCTAATGTCCATGTAGTATGTGAGTTACGAACATCTCAGTACTATGACTGTCACAAGTGTAAATTAAAGTGTGGAGTTACGATCATCTTAGACTGTCTAATGTGCATGTTTAAGTATTGGAGTTAAGAACACCTTAGCAAAATGACTTTTGTGCCTCTACTTTAAAGCATGGTAGTTACGATTGTCTGTGCACTATGGCTGCTGAATGTGTCTGTTACTACATGCAAGTTCTTACGAGCTACGACTGCCGTAAATCTTTGTTACAGCACTGGAATTAAAGTTATCTCAGTGCTTAGACCACATTTGAGGGGGCGGTGGGGTAGCCTAGTGATTAAAGCGTTGGCTCGTCACGCCGAAGACCCGGGTTCGAATCCCCACATGGGTACAATGTGTGAAGCCCATTTCCGGTGTCCCCCGCCATGATGTTGCTGGAATATTGCTAAAAGCGGCGTAAAACCAAACTCAGTCAGTCAGTCAGTCACATTTGAGAGCAGGGCTCAAGACAAACCGTATCTACCCAAACCTGATTTTGGTCTTTCGACAAGCATATGGCACTGCAGTGTTAGTACGATAATAGACACTACACACAGTGATTTGTTTGAGTGGCATTTTAGAAGTTGCTGGTATAGAGATGACACAACTTTATGGATGATCAACTTCTTTTTAACAGTATAAGAATCTATACCCGAAACATCGCTATTGTTAAAATAAAGAAGTTGATCATCCATAAAGTTGTGTCATCACTACACACAGTGTGATAATGTTAGACAAGCAGTTTATAATATGGCAAAGATATTCACACTGTCAGACAATAGGGTACGCGTGGTACTCCATTATACTGTCAACATAATATAATTAACATTTCACACATAAAATTGTGCATTGACACAGTGGCAAACAAGGGGGGGTTATTACAAAGGATAGCATGTTTAAGAAAACAGTATCTTATCTTCAGGACATGTTTGTGTAAGAACATTTTTCCACTGAGTGAAAAACGGAGCTGACACCTGGTTTTACAGGGCAGTGATCATCAACTTCCTGAATGACAGTACAATAAGTATTCCCATAATAAATAGCCCTGCCAGTGTTTGTTTGCCTCCTTCAGCAACATTACGGCCAAATGTTGGCAGCATGTAACATGTAACATGTGTTTGGTATTACACTTCCTCAGGAAAGTACAGATTCTAGTGCTTGTAACAGGTTGAGTATAATCCGGGATTCGAACCCACACCCTCAGAGTCAGGCATCTAATCTGCTGGAACACAAAGAGCAATCTAACCCACTCAGCCACCATGGCTGACGACCTGATCTATTCAGTAACCATTACTAGAAGTTACATAGTCTGCTGGAACCAATTCCAACTTTACTTTGACAAACCCAAGAGTGCGTGAGCAATGGAAAGGAACATTTCAATCACAGTCACCTGTCAACTGATCAAATCCATCAATCTTGAGGTCAATAGTACGAACACCCTTCTGTGTCTGAATTCTACTTTAGTACTTGAGGTTTGGTTTTTTAACAATAAGTTTGATGGATGGTTTTGAATACTGATAGGAAAACATGGAACTGAGTCAATAGGGTTGATAATCATGTTATTGCAATACTCAGGTGATATCTGTTATCAGGGTGCAATAATACGGTTTTCTCTTAGAGTGCCCGGACAAACCTAATACATTTGTACATAGGTTGTACAGTGAGAGAGTGAGTGAGTTTAGCATTACGCCACTTTTAAGCAATATTCCAGCAATATCGCGGCAGAACGAGGACCAGAAATGGGCTTCACACATGTAGCCATATGCCATGTGGGGAATTTGGCGTGACACTTTAACCACAAGGTTGCCCCACCGCCCAAGTTGTACAGCCACATGACAAAAAGTCAACTTGTTCAGGGCCCTGTAGAACTATGACAGAGTTACGATCATCTTAGCGATACCATCACTTTGTGCAACGGGCCCCAGGTCATAAGAAGAGATGGAAATGTTATTAAACAAGAATAATTTAACTAAGTGAAAATCAGTTCCAGATGCATATATTGTCCCAAGACAGTGGATAAACAATTGCAAATGAGGAGGATAATCGTTAGATCTCAATCAAACCTCATACACTGGGGACAGGGAGATTTAAAAGTGTTGCCAGGCAACAGGAGGGAAAACATGTCTGGATAATAAACTGCTGCCACCACAAGATCCCCAAAACAGAAGGGTTAAAGAGGGGCTACGGTTCTGACTGGCGGTCATTTGAAATTTGATTCAAATCATTGAGAAATCATGTCAGTCCAGCTCGGTTATATCATTTATATCAAGTTAAAGAGAATGTAAGAGAATTTATGGATGTCACATCTTTATTATGAAGAATACAATGTTTCAGAGTATATTCCTTCTGCTTCGTCACCTGATGAAGGAGTAGGAATACACACAAAAATGTCGTGTTCCTTATAATAATAAAGAAGCTGACATCCATAAAATATCACCTTTAATGTGTATCACTCCCAAATGCTGTTTACATACTTCATATTAACCTTGTAATAATTACTATTAATACAATGAGACAATGTCTCAGCTTCACAAATTACAACTTCTAGACCTAGCATGGAATGGGGACTGGAGGTGGTCTCCCTTTACGTTACCAAAGCCACAGACCGGACACACGTGGTGGAAGGATGAAGGACTTACAGGGTAAACATTATACACTGTCGATCACATGCACACAAGCTCATGGAAGCACCATCCAACTTATAAACAAAGCAGAAAGATAGATCAAGAAAATCACAACTAATCAAAAAGCTGATGTTTGAGATATGCTACAAGCGATATGTTATGTACAATATCAAACCATGACGATGTACGTGGACACTCTCCACTGAGGCTGACAACACACCTGACAGGGGACCAAGAGTGCTTCATGTCGGGATCAGATTTACACATTTCCTTATTCCACAATTTTATTCGAGTCACAGCTTGTTACAATGTGTGCTAGTGGTAACAAGATCAGTATCGGCATATATCAAGAAACCCAAAGGTATTTATCAGTATCAAAATAACAATAACGAATTTGTCAATATCCAGATAAACGTTTACTATTTGACAAGGGTTAACCTATTGTCCACATCAGAAAACAAGGTCACTTTTGGTCAATATCACAGTAAGGCCAGACCAATTTCATTTCTTGTTTTATGGATCCGCCGGTCGTAATTTTTCAAGAATAAGAAAAAAAATATATATTAATTTTCCCCGCTCAAAAAATAAAATCCTCATGTTTTTATTGGCCAAACATGTAAACTTACACGAAAAATTTTTTGGATTGTTTTTTGCACCATATACACTTCATAAATTGCCAAAAATAAAATACTTTTAGTATTTAAAAGGAATATTACTTTGACTGGTGATTTTTATGTTTAATTTTTTTCCCTCCTGCCTTTAGGTTTTCTGAGGACAAAAAACGTAAAACAGGAAATAAAATTGGTCTGGCCTAACAAGGATTCACAACTCCTCACCTTAAAAGATATTATGGGTTCACATTGTTAATACCAAAATGACAACAGACCACTGCTTGTCTGATTCAAAAATGAAAAAAGACCATTAACTGTCTGTATTAAAATAGCAAGGTCAATATTTGTCAATATAGAAGGGTCGGTGGGGTAGCCTAGTGGTTAAAAGCGTTGGCTCGTCACGCCGAATGGTATCGATTCCCATCATGGGCATGGGCAATGTGTTAAGCCCATTTCTGGTGTCCCCCTCCGTGATATTACTGGAATATTGCTAAAAGCGGCGTAAAACTAAACTCAGTCAGTCAGTCAGTCAGTCAGTCAATATAGAAAAAAATATATTTTGAATAAAAATTACGATTTCTTTATCAAGATAAAAATTCAGATTTGTCAATATAAAGAACAATCATGAGCTCATGTTTTGTCAATGTGATCGTAACAACAAGTCACCATTTGTCAATATCAAGATGACAATAGGTCAATATTTGTCAATATCAAGATAACAATAGGTCAATATTTGTCAATATCAAGATGACAATAGGTCAATATTTGTCAATATCAAGATAACAATAGGTCAATATTTGTCAATATCAAGATAACGATGTCACTATTTGTCAATATCAAGATAACAATAGGTCAATATTTGTCAATATCAAGATAACAATGTCACTATTTGTCAATATCAAGATAACAATAGGTCAATATTTGTCAATATCAAATTAACAATAGGTCACTATATATCAAGATCAAGATAACAAGACACATCCATGTGTCAAGGAACTATTTCTCAAAATCATGGTAACAAGCATTTGAAACAGAAGCATTTGAAATGACTTTCAGATGAATTTAAGCTATTATTCTAAATTAATATAATTCAATTATTTTAAATAAACAAACAGCAGCAAACACTCTGATCCCGACGGGCACTGGTACAAGGGGCACGTGGAGTCCAACTCACAAGAAGAAATTGTTGTTAAGACAATAGTATGTCACAAGGAAGGGAGATAACTCTGTGTGACAGTTGATGAAGGCTCTACATGAAATGTTAGCAGCATGTGGTCAGCAAACAAAAAAAATCAAGCTTTGATAAAAGTCTTATTTCCTCTTGCTTTTACCTTCTGGCTTGAACTCTGTTGATAAAGTGAATGAAATAGTTTGTCACACAACATAGCGGAACAGTCGCTGAAAGGAAGGCTACATCAATAGCTCTGCGGACAGAGGCTCTAAACTCAGGGAAACAAAGATCTAAGCCATGCAGAGTTGTCATCTCATGCTACCGTAAATATTCCAGTAAAAACACTTCAGCCTCTCAAGGTTGTATTTCCTGACTTTCAAACACAAAAACATGTGTTTACTTACAGACTGATTTTCATTTTATATTATGTTGCATCAAATTTCTGTAATAAAATTTTCAATGAAAGATATTTCCGAAGTATTGTGATATATTGCTATTTTCAAATTTCAGAAAGACTCTTGTCTATAGAATCCATTTTCAAATTTAAACTTACAACACAAATACATTTTTTAAAATTATATAATTTTCAAAATAAAACATAAAAATAGACAATATTTCCATATGCCACGGATTTAAGTAAATACGTTGCTAATTCTTAACTTTTCAGAAAGAAGTATTCTCTGTAAAACCAACATTCCTTAATTTCGAATTTATCTTTACAATACAAACACACATTTCTTGATTTAAATTTCTCTTAACACTTCAGATGTTGTGTGGTAATTGCTGGATTGGTTACGGTATTGTATTGAAGGTTTATCAAAAAACAAATAATGTCACAACAAGTATCAACATAAGTGTGAAACTAAAAACAACAAAAGCTACACTTAAAGAATCCTTCTACAATATTGTGTCATCTACCTTTCAATAACAGTAACAAAGTACTTAATCACAAATAATTAACACTAAAATCATTAAATCATTACATCCCTGAATTACAGTCTACAAAAGTTTCTTGCCACAGTGACATAATGATAAACAAATGAAATGGATGTAATTGATATTGGTCATTACAGGCTATACGTCATGCATCACTGAATGAGTTGGAATATATTCATATATAAGATGCATATGAGCTTTAAATATGACCATTTAAAAATAATCGTTAGAAAATATTTTACAAATTATGTTTTCATATACTTTACGTGAGAATGAATATTACTGTTACTTCTCGCATGTAACATAAATAGATATAACATGGTTTGAGAACATGAGATAAGGAGATATTGGTGATTAGTGCTATATTTAACGTGAATATAGATATGTACTATATCGCACCTTTGAAGTTTTTAACCCTCCCTTTCCTCATCATGGGTAGACAAAGCGGGATGTAGTGTTCGTGGCTGGAAACGATGCTCAGAAACTCGAACTTGAACTGATGAAGAATCTGAAACAATAAATTGAATTCATCCATTTGAGAGCCTCAAAAGGTACAAGATTTAATTAGTGTTATTTTCAGTGACAACCTCTCTGTATATAACTGAATATTATTGGGCATCCCTTGGGCTGCAAAATATATATATATTATCTGCATCCATTCTACACATATGTGCGTACTTGATGCACATTTCTGTCTCACATAGAACCCTGGGTTAAACTGGCAGCCAGATTGATTCATAAAAAAGTTGTTTGAAAATGACAGGACTTCCAATACACAGGGGTCTTGTCTCCTTATAAGGATTCTCCAAACTCCATCACCAGATTCAGAAAGCCTTGTTTCAGATCTCTAGGCTGAGGTTTACACAAACTGAGCCGAGATTCAACAGACTAGAGGTCATGAGTACTTGAGATAAATATTAGCCAATATATAACCAATGAGATGGAATTTGTACCATGATTCTATAGAATAATTGTAAATATGGAATATTCTAAATCCCATGTGCAGAATGTGGAAACATTTTAACCACTGTGCAGAATTTAAACCCGGGTCTTCGGTGACAAGCAAATATTGTAACCACTAGGCTATCCCCTGTGGGGAATTGAACCTGTTACTTCAGTGACAAGCAAACACTGTAACCACTAGGCTATCTTGCCATACTTACAAAAGAAACAAAACACAGTGAGTGAGTTTAGTGTTACGCCGCACTCAGCAATATTCCAGCTATATGGCAGCGGTCTGTAAATAATCGAGTCTGGACCAGACAATCCAGTGATCAACAGCATGAGCATTGATCTGCGCAATTGGGAACCGATGACACGTGTCAACCAAGTCAGCGAGCCTGACCACCCGATCCCATTAGTCGCCTCTTACGACAAGCATGGGTTACTGAAGATCAACATTCCACCCCAGACCTTCACGGGTTTCCTCACATTTGAGGATGGAATTCATGTTAAAGATCGGGATCCTGTTCCGCAAAGTGATTGCAGTGCAACAACTGGCCTAAGTTCATGTAGAATGTTCATGTAAAGTATGGAACCTACAGTTACGTTGTGGAATGAGACCAGGAAAGTGCCTTTATACAAAGCAATCTTAGTGCTAAGGTGACCCCAACTCCCATACCTTAACACAGACGTACGACAGTCGTAGCACTAAGATGATCGTAACTCCCATACCTTAACACAGACGTACGACAGTCGTAGGACTAAGGTGATCCCAACTCCCATCCTTTAACACACCGCGTCGACAGTTAGAAAGCACTAAGATGATCGTAACTCCCATACTTTAACACAGGCGTACACAGATGATAAGATGATCTCTCCCATACTTTAACACAGACGTACGACAGTCGTAGGACTAACGCATCACATTGTCATCAGACAGGCATGCAGTGTCAGTGGTTTAATTGATTTAGTCAAAGGAAACAATCCACACAATCAAACAAATTGGATGCATTTGTTAATTTGAGCATGTCTTTTACAGTTGCATTCCAAAAACAGAACAAAACTATCCAAAAAAAATATTTTACCGAACACATCGACCCCCTTTTGTGAGCATTCATATTTTGTAGAAAGAGTTAGTTTGGTTTAACACCACATTCAAAAACATTCCCGATGTATTGGAGCCTGTCATTTTGTAAGGAAGAGAATTTTTTATGGATGTCAACTTCTTTATTATGAGGACCACAACGTTTTGGAGTGAGTGAGTGAGTATGGTTTTACGCCGCTTTTTAGCAATATTCCAGCGATATCACGGCGGGGGACACCAGAAATGGGCTTCACACATTGTACCCATGTGGGGAATCGAACCCGGGTTGTTGGTGTGACGAGCGAACGCTTTAACCACTAGGCTACCACACCGCCCCACACAACGTTTTGGAGTATATGTTTCGTAGTGTTCCTCTTAATAGGAGTTTTTTTAGGTCTTAGACACAACAGCATTGAAATCACTTCCATGGGTTTCTGATATATTTAATTGACATCTCTTTTCGCTGCTTTTACAAATGGGTGATTTAAGAAGTTACCGGCAAATAAACTGGTGTTTATGGAAGCATATATGTAAGAAACAAAAATAACTTTGCAAACTGGTTATTTAAGCATTACCATACAAAAGACTGTAGACAGAAACACAAATAGTAACATCATTTACTGCAATGAAGCAACACAAGCCCTGCCTACTCAATTATCAGCCAATCAGAAAACAGTAATCTGTAAGTTTGTGAAAACATAAATTATGTACATGATTAATGTATAGATTTAAATACATGCAAAAAAGAATGTCTGGTTAGCCAATCAAATGCCATGGAATCATTCACAATTTCTATATTTCTCGAAGTAATCCATAATTCTGTACATCTGGTGGTTAGTGGATTCTCGTACTGATGTATGTTCAGAATAAAGGGACACCTCTATTCTACAAGCCACATCTCATTAGGTGAACACTGTTATTTGGCCACAGGTTGCTTGCCGACTTTTAAAGGTTGAGCCATGAGGCTCTGTAGCTCACCTGACTGTTGGGTTTTGTAACATGAAGAATTATTGCATAAATATTACTATCAGGAAAACCCAAACTAAAAAGTTGTTTTTTGGTTGTTTTTTTTGTTATTTACTGCCACACTTAGCAATATTCCAGCTATACGGTGGTGGTCTGTATATAATTGAGTCTGGACCAGACAATCCAGTGACAGACATCATGAGCATCCATCTACTCAACTGGGATACAATAACAGGCATCAACCAAGTCAACGAGAAACTGCCTCCTTCTTGACCTGGTCTCGTATTTCACTGTTATACAATGTTGAAATTATATTACATTGTTTCTGTCAAAGATTCATTAGGGGTTCATAACACCGTGATTTTACAAAGGTATATTGTCAGGAATGTCTTACTATCTGATGTAAGCATTTGTGTGGGAAACATGTGGTATGGAATCTACTAGAACAGCATAGATTAATACACCTGAGTATGGACACATATAATATATCATACATTTGTAGAGTGCCTCATATATCTATCTCAAAGATGCTCAGTGGCGCTAAGGTCAATATATACTGAGGGAAAAAATAAGGGATCACGTGAAAGCACAAGTGTTCCTTTATTTTTTTCCAGGTTTCTTCACAAGCGTTGTATAAAGGAACACTTGTGTTTTCACGTGATCCCTTATTTTTTTCCCTCAGTATATGTGCAAAGCATAGACATTTCCTATCCCGGTTAACCAAAGCTGACTGTATGAGGCACTAGAAGGTTAACTGTCATCTTATCCCATCGGGTACCCATTGACTGCAAGGTTATTATAACGTGCATGTGTGTTTAAGAGGACATACATAAAAAACTGTTAGGCCAACAGATGTATTGAAGGACGACACAACATGCCATGACATCACCTCATGAGAACCTTTGGTTCAGGTGACCTTTGAATGGACGACTACGTGGTGGCAACTTGTTATCTTCACAAAAACAACACTGTCAAAGAGTTTTCTTGTCTATCTAACATGGAATGTGTAAATTATTAATTTCTTAAGCAGGCTCACTAAAGAGTATTAAAGAGTATGGACATTTCATCAATTTTCCACAGATAACAAACAGCCACTTATCAGTATCTAGCTGCGGCAAGCGTACTAAATTCTTACCACCAAAAGTGTCGTGTCAACTGGACACGTGGAGTTCTTGCTCTGATCATACAGGTTCCAAAGTTCCTTAAAACATCACAGTAACAGTAACACAACGTAAACAAAAGTAAACGCCAACAGTAAAAACGGTCAACTTCAGACATAGGGAGCTTGTGTTAGTTATGCATCCTGAGCACCAAATCTTTTACAGACAAGAGAAGAAATGGACAGTGAGATAGGTCAGATTGATTATTTACAACCCTGGGACCCTTTCCACAAAGCACTGTACCATTACGCCATTCGTAAGCTAATGATGTAGTATTGTGTTACGACAGGTCGGAAAGTTACAAACGCTTTGTGACTCAGGACCCAGGTTTTTGCTGTTGAAATACACACCTTGTTGTTGGCCACATTGAAGATTTCGATGTACTTGGCCACCAACTTGAACACAAAACCTCTGTCCATCAGTGTGAAACAACTCTGAAACATAACATGATACGATTGACTGACTGACTGACTGACTGACTGAGTTTGGTTTTACGCCGCTTTTAGCAATATTCCAGCAACATCACGGCGGGGGGACACCAGAAATGGGCTTCACACATTGTACCCATGTGGGGATTCGAACCCGGGTCTTCGGCCTGACGGGCCAACGCTTTAACCACTAGGCTACCCCACGGCCCCTGGTACGATTGAATGAATGAGTGTATTGAAGAATGTTAGTTATGAAACATCACAATGATTGGATGAATGAGTGAATGTAAAATTAGTCTGTTGTTTAATGCGGTGTTCCAGGTGTCATTAACAAAGTCCGGACCAGACAATACAGTGATAGGCAAAGTTCCACATTGTTCAGTTACGATCCATTACAACATTATCGACAGATTTCTGCATCATTAGATGGATCATAAGTAGTTTGACTGATTACACTAAAGACAATTGTTACCATACTGATGACAGAAAGAAGTGTTTACCTTGACGAAGAATGCGAGGCTCCTGTTGGCGTTCTGCGTACCCTCCTCCTGGTGTCGCTGTGAGATGAGAGTCACTACGATCTGCAGCAGGTTCTGTACGCGGTACTGGTAGTCCGGGGAAAACCTCTCGTTCCTTGGCATCTGCAGCAGAGCAAATTACGTTATTTCTTTATTTTACTTTAAGTACAAATTCATAACTGTTTTAGGTTGAGTCCTATCCATGATTTGAACCCACACTCTCAGTAGAGGAGCAGTTGAGTATTATCATGAAACAAAAAATAATGCTGCATGAAATATAAGAAAGGCAGGATACTTTATTGACTTCCTTATTATATTATGATGCGGGTTTTAGCATAGATCCTTACATTGTGTCAAGCAATGGAATATGTGTAAACCATGCCATACTGTGGCATACTTCTGGTGAATATCAGGAAAAGATTCAATTGGGTAGAGTACCTATGACCTAGATCTTGACCCAAACTCTGACCTACACCTTGACCTATAAGTCACCTTGACCCTGTCAGGGTTAATCGGGCACTGTGTAGTATTTCTGACGAGTGTCATGAAAATCCTCACAATGACCTTGACCTATAACTAATCTTGACCCTGTCAGGGTTAATCGGGCACTGTGTAGTATTTCTGACGAGTGTCATGAAATTCCTCACAATGACCTTGACCCTTAACTCACCTTGACCCTGTCAGTGTCAATCAGGTACTGTGTCATACTCTTGATAAGTATCTCGAAGATGAACCAGGCGTGCTCCAAGAACTTGCGTATGACGAGTGGGTCAGCATTGGCCGGGCGCAGCATGGAAGTGAGGCTCCTAGCCAGTTCCTCATGGACTGTCTTCTGCTTACTGCCCTTCTGCACCGGGTCGGGACGGAAGATGTACTGTAACATTCAATCAGTAGGTAGCGTTACTGGCTGATACTACTACTACAGAGACAACTAGTTATGCTTAGTTGACAGCGAAGATGACTTCTGTTGAACATCTGAAGTTTTAGTTTTGGTGTTACTGCAGCCAGAAATACAGGAATTATGACAATGATGTAATAGAGGTTTCATATGAAATATTAGGATTCAGGAACAATATTCCAGCAATATTCAGGCGACCTGAAAATATCAACCACATATATCACATATCAACCAGACAAATTAGTAATTGAAAGTATGTGCTACAGTACAGACAGCAATTGCCCACCCGACTGACTGAATTACCCTATGGCAGTTAATGTTGCAGGTGGCAGCTACTAACCTTGACATATTTCTGTAGGAGTTCCTCCTTGCTGTTGTCATGAACTTCTGACACCACATGGATTAACACTCTGTGAACATAACATACACATCAGTGAGTGGTTGACTTGGAGCAGTATTTCTCTCGTATCAGAGTATGTCAGTTTACTGTTGAAATAACCCTAAAGTGGGTTGTACGTAATAGATGTCAACGAATTTGGCGGAACCCAAAAGTAATGGTACAGTACCGATGAGCATAATCAAAATCAGAGGTATTCAGTGATTCAAATGTATGATTGGCAGATCAATGAACAACCAGAAATTTGAGCAGAATATTATTGATCCCCAATATACCCACACAGATTCTGAATATTATTAAAATGTGTGGCAGATGTTTATGGATTGATCCAACATGGTCGCTAACAGTACCTGACGGCGTTGATGCCGACATCCTCGTTGGCGGTGCGGGCCAGGAGGTGGAAGAGCTGGTTGAGGAGGGTAGGTAGGAACTGGATGTAGACGGAGACCTCCACAGCCAGCAGGGACTGAAACACAGGCACACATCAGTAACCACGGCAACTCACAGTGAGAGAGTGAATGTGGTTTAACCTGCAAGCAATATTTCTTCCATATCAATTCAGCCTGTAAATGTTCAACTATGGACTAGGAAAACTGAGGTCTGAAATCATTTCCAGTTTCGTCTTGGCATCAACACGGAGCCTCATAGACATCAGCTATTACCGTAGCAGCTACACTTTGAAATATTCATTTTTGGGGACATACCATAACTTCACACATACTTACTGTCAGCCATGCAAAGGGAGGTAACTGTTCAGGGGAATGCATACCGACCAAATCTGCAGTATAACTTCACTGCTATAACTAGTGAGTGCGTGAGCATGGTTTTACGCTGCTTTCAGCAATATTCCAGCAATATCTTGGCGGGGGACACTAGAAATGAGCTTCACACATTGTACCCACTATAACTAATGTATCATTAAAATCACTTTGTAAATGGGGAGACAGGTTAAAGGAGTGAGTGATTATAGTTTTATGCCGCTGTTTGCGATATTCCAGCAATATCTTGGCAGGGGACACCAGAAATGGGCTTCACACTTTGTACCCACTATAACTAATGTATCACTAAAATCACTTTGTAAATGGGGAGACAGGTTAAAGGAGTGAGTGATTATAGTTTTATGCCGCTGTTTGCGATATTCCAGCAATATCTTGGCAGGGGACACCAGAAATGAGCTTCACACATTGTACCCACTATAACTAATGTATCACTAAAATCACTTTGTAAATGGGGAGACAGGTTAAAGGAGTGAGTGATTATAGTTTTATGCCACTGTTTGCGATATTCCAGCAATATCTTGGCAGGGGACACCAGAAATGAGCTTCACACATTGTACCCATGTGGGGAATCGAACCCGGGTCTTCAGCAAGACGAGAGAACACTTTAACCACTAGGCTACCCAACTGACCCCTGGTTAAAAATATCAATTCAGTATACTTTTTGCTCCAAATCTTTTTAAAATCTATCATTCTTTGTTAAGATTTTTACTTAAAAAAACAACATATCTATTTGTTTTTTTCCCCTGGCAAACTCATAAAAGAAATTACATAAAAAAGCCACTATTGTTTGGTCTTATTCACACTGAACACCTGAAAACTAGATAATGCAATGTAAGCATAAGATGTGAAGGCCATAATAAATGTTAACAGCTGAAGTCCGCAAATGAAATGACCATGCATTATTTCACAATTAAAACCAAGACAGCCATGCACACAATGTAGAAAGCAGCCATACAAGCTTCCTCAGCTAATGTTTCTTAAGCATAATGTAGATACATTGTTCATGTATATGATGCACTCAAAAATATGACAGCATTTCACAGCAGCAGTTGCACCAGACAACATTAACATTCTGTCTCCATCAACATACACAGTGATAAAATGGTCATGATCTAATAGTGAGTGAGTGAGTGAGTATGACTTAACGCCGCTTTTAGCAATATTCCAGCAATATCACGGCGGGGGACACCAGAAATGGGCTTCACATATTGTACCCATGTCTGGAATCGAACCTGGGTTTTCGGGCATGACGGGCCAACGCTTTAACCACTAGGCTGCCCCTCATGATCTAATACAGACATATGAAATATTTTTAAACTTTAAGAGATCCAAGCACAAATGTTTGTCCGTTAGGTTGGTTGTAATTCTCCTGTGTATTCTGTGAATTGAATTGAATCCTTTAATGAATTCAATTCATTATTCATAATCACTAAAATGGAATAAACATGGGTTAGGGTTCGGGCTAGAACGTAGAAAGTTCAAAAAGGAGTGTTTTTACTTGAATTTGGGAGCTGGTTATTGAACCAAGATATGCCAAAAGGAATATATGGACAGACAGGATAACAGCAGGCACTCTTATGTATTTAATTTTGCAGTAATGTAGTCACTGGTTATTGTAATAAATTTACATTATCAAAATAGACAAAACACGTTGAATAATTATTATGTCATTCTTTCAGTAAATATATTAAAATTTAATTGTACATCAGATTTATTTATTTATTTATTTATTTTTTTGATTCTCCATACATCCAGGTCATACATGACAGTTCATTACATAATGGGTTGGTATAAACACGATTCGCAAATATATACAAAGTCGATTTACAGGCAAATGTGCATTCAGGTGGAAATGAATAGGTACTTGAAAATATAATAGCAGTACATTATATATAGCGCTAGGTTAACAGAACAGATTGTGACATAGTGACCAAGTACATCAGACATTGACTTGTTATTGTATTCATTACCAAATATACTTATTTATTATATAGGTAGTATTTTTCCTGTCCCACAATTGGTCAAAATACCGTCACATGATTGACTACAAAACACGATATTGACTTGAGTTTTCTGATAAATTACGATATTGACTTGGGTTACTAAAAATAGACAAGGAATCCCGTACGAAGGGGCTTCCCCCGCTTTTCAGCCAATCAGATCACTCGGATAGATGGCACAATGTGTGCATTAAAAGTTTATGTTAAAACCCGTTTCTCTTTCATTATATAATAAAACAATTATAGACTCTTGTAGAGGTCGATATCGGTTTTTATTGACCTGAGTAAAACAATATCGACCGAGATTGCTTTTACTCAGGTCAATAAAAACCGATATCGACCTCTACAAGAGTCTATAATTGTATATTTGTTACCCAGTATTCATGATATGTATCATATTGGATTCTTTGCAGCCCTGATATATACAGAGATTATCCCTACTGTGGTGTATAATCCTCCATCAGAACCTGAAATGGGGTAATATCAGGTAGACATAACCCACATTACTTAGGTCAAGTGTCTCCTGTTTTTTACTGGGCCTTGTTCTAATAGAGTGAGTGAGTGAGTTTAGGTTTATGCCTCTTCTAGCAATATTCCAGCAATATCACGGCTGGGGAATCCAGAAATGGGCTTTAGACATTGTACCTGTGTGGGGAATAGAACCCGGGTCTTCTGCGTGATGAACGAACGCTTTAACCACTAGGCTATCCCATCGCCCCTCTAATAGAGACTCTTCGTAGGTAGTTTGTATGTAATATCCACCTGTCCCAGGATAACCCACAATAACAACCTGCTATGGGGTATATTAAGTGTTATTATTTGACACAGTGAATATGGTTGGGAACCTTACCCAGACCTCAATATGAAGTCATTCATGTGCAGTGAACTTGGACAAAGTACTGTGACTATGTGTCCCGGTCCACCCAGCTGTGAATGGGTACCTCGTAAGGATGAGAAGGCCACAATAACTCAGTGCGCCTAGTGACTGCAAGAGTTGTATGCTCCCCAGATTGATAACACGATGTGCCGTTGAGACTGACATCCAATGATTGAGGGAAAAAATACCAGCGCCTTGAGCAAGCACTAGTTGCCTGGATATGTGCACTATATAAATATCATATAATAAATTCCAATAAAACTGAATGAGAACTTAATCCAAGGCTAAGCTATCATCACACCTTAATCATTCCTGGTAAAATCTACATACTAAGTTGTGTTAATCCTATATTTTGATAACGAATATTGTTCTATATTACAAAATTATCTGTCAAGCTTTAATTTTTAATAAACAAACAATGATCAATAAGGTTTGAATGATCATGACAATGATGTCAGCTTAATATGGGAAAAATGGACATTCACCACACTGCTGAATCTACAATCAGATGTCATGTGAACAATCAGCTGATCCTAGTAAGTCTCAGGCAGGTAAGTGTACAAAGCCCAGAAGCAGAGATAATTAGGCTTCTAATGCTGGTGTTATGTAAACAGCTGAATGGCACAAATCTGGACATCAATTGATGCAATCCTACGGATAGAGAGTTGACCAGGAAAAGAACAGATAAACGAAAGTTTACAAAGCGACAGTATCTTCAGCTGTACCATTATTAATTGATCTGCAATAACATGGCAAAATAAAGAAGTAAAAACTGAAATATAGAAATAATATAAAAAAGTAATCCCAGTGAAGACCAGTAAAGTAAATAACAAAAGGAAAAAGAAAAGTGATTCTTGAAGTATCCCCATCAATCTGGCAGTGAACTCAAGTGCTGAGTTCTGGGTGTGCTGGGTGTGGGGGATTTGGGGAGGAAAACCTTAAAAAGTGATGACCCTGACACATTTTTTGTTTTCAAGGGGGCACCATGGATAAAACTCTCCTCCATCCTAACTTTTGAGAAACATTTAAAAACACTTATCCAGTCTTATTTATATTTTTAAAATGTAGGTCTGCAGATAGTAAATGAAGCACACAGAAAACAAATCTTTAGTTTCCTGTAATTTGGTTTCCTGTAATTTGATAACCATGTCTAGTTTACAACATACATCCTATCTAATCTAACACAATGAGTCTTTGATGCACTGATGCAAACAATGAAGTTTAAGCATCACACTTCATCTTCTGAAAACATATACTGTATTCACTGTGTTGAAAGAGGTGACTAACGGGATCGGGTAGTTAGGCTCTTTGACTTGTTTCACATGTCATCGTATCCCAATTACGTAGATTAATGCTCCTGCTGTTGATCATTGGATTGTCTGGTCCAGACTCAATTATTTACAGACCGCTGCCATATAGCTGTAATGTTGCCGAGTGCAGGGTTAAACAACAAACAAATAAATAAACACTGTATTTAGCACCTCCCTCAAATAATCATCCCCAATAACTTCTGAACCAAAGATATGTAAAGATATCTGTATAAGCATCCTAGGCCCCAAGACTGACGTGCAGATTTTCATGTAGATAGTTTACATTGTTTTACAGCAAACAGTGTAGGATTGAATGAGTGAGTGAGTGAGTTTTACGCCAGTTTTTAGTAATATTCCAGCAATATGACTGACTGACTGAGTTTGGTTTTACACCACTTTTAGCAATATTCCAGCAACATCATGGCGGGGGACACCAGAAATGGGCTTCACACATTGTACCCATGTGGGGATTCGAACCCGGGTCTTCGGCGTGACGAGCCAACGCTTTAACCATTAGGCTACCCCACCGCCCCTCCAGCAATATGAAGCTAGGGACACCAGAAATGGGCTTCACACACTGTACTCATATGACTTGACTTCAGTGTGACGAGGGAATGCTTTAACTTGCTAGGCTGTCCCATCTCCCCAGCGTAGATAGGAATGCAACTGCCTCATCACTATTATCGAAAATAGTTTAGTTTCCTTGAGACTTTGACTCACTGTGTTCTCTATTGGAAGATCTCTGACAAAACAATTCGAACAAACCTGAAGAGGTTGCTGATTCTATATTGACGAGACATAATATTATTATCTCTCATGAAAAAAGAATTAACTTTTTTTTTTTTTTTTAACACTCTCTTTTGTTATTTATTGTACTTGTTAATGCGAACACAGTAATACAAAACCCATATATCCCAGGATGCACAATTTCATCCTACAATGTTGGTTTTCAAACTTACTGCCTGTGAAACAATTATATACATTTTCAGCCAAAACATACGATTACTTCAAAAAAAGAAGATAAAATCCCACTACAAACATTTTACAAAAGATCCCACTTATTGGAAACAAAAAAAACAGCATTACAAAAAAAAAGAGGGAGTAGAAAACACCAAGTAGACAACAGGTAGGACAGGTCACATGACAGCATGTAAGAAATACCTTTATCAAGTTCGACAACCAATCAGAACTGTCGTCTGAATTCTCCGAATCGTCCGAGTCACTCTGATTTGTGGTGAAAAATTGCATACTTGTTTAAACTTAAATAGACCATGAGTTCATTACTAGTCATATGTACACAATAATAAGCACCTGTGAAGTATTGCGTCCAGCATACAGATTATACCTTTGTCTCCCGGAGCGGGATAGAGTTTCTACACCATGCATTAGTGATCTACTGGTATCTACAGCTACTGATGATAATGCAGTTATGAACGGTGCAATGAGTTAATGGATAAATATCAACCATGACACAATGATATAACATTGGATATGAACACGGACACCACTCAAAAGAAGTTACAAAACACTTGATTGTTTTCTTACGACTGTAGACATTCTGTTATAGGTGAGGTGAAATTGGGTTTAACTTCTGGCTTGAGAATATTTCGCTCATATGACGACGTCAAATTCTGTTATAAGTTAATAAGCAAGGTTTTGTGCCATTTTCAGCAATATTCCAGCAATATCACAGCAGGGGGCACCGGAAATAGCCTTCACACATTGAAGCCCTTGGGGAATCAAACCCTGGTCTATGGTGTGAAGAGCAAACACCTTAACAACGAGGCTATTCTGTTTCGGCTGGTGGGTGCTGTAACATTGTCTTCCAACTGTGAGTGTATACTATTGTACTTATTTTGAGTAGTGTCCACATCATACTTGACATGTCCTGCATGGATCTGAAGTGTTAGATTTTTGCAACAGAGTTATCTCCCTTGTTGAACAACCCCCCCCCTATTGCTGTTTCCACTCCAATGAAGACATCATCTTTTATCAGTAACTAGTTTGTAACTAATAATGAAGAAGTTATTGGTCTAAAGGATCAAAATTATATCTCCCCATCTTAAGAAGCCCATCTTGCGTATCTGACTTAATTCAACATCCAGTGTGAGTTTTATGCCAATCCATGAAAATATGGAAAAATCACTTAATGAGTCATATAGTTCTTTTCCATTTTCGACTGAGTGTTTGACATAACTTTGTAACCTGAGAGACTCATCTTGATAAGCTAAAATATTGTCTCAAATAAATCTTTAGCTCAGACAACTGACATGTCAAATATGGTTGCAGTTCATCTGTGAATGATCGATGAGGTCCTGATTACTGGATTGAGGTTAACAACTTTCCCCAGGTGAGACAGTTACCTTGAGTTTGTTGACACTGTTCATGTCTACAGCCAGGGAGGTGTCACTCTCCATCTTCTGACACTGCTGGAAGAAGTTGTGCAGATGCTGGTCCTGGGGAGGAGAAATGAATAGCAAAAGTTGTAGGGGGGACAACGTAACAGCCATATTTACATGTCAAGATACATAGCATTTTGAAGAGATAGACCTAAAACGTGATCAAAATAGTCAATACTTTTCTTCCTTGATGGGAAAAGTGATTACATTTTGGCATATTTATCTTGATGTTTATTTTGTTTGACATACTTATTGACTAGTGACTGGCATACCTGAGTGTAGATAGTTGACATAAGTCGAATGCCAAGTTTGAAGAGTGGTCTGCCTCCTTCCACCCACTTGATGTCTGGCCCTGAGCTCTGTAACACACATTCCACATCCACATCACCGTCACACGTATACTGCACTGTAAACATCATTGTGCCTCCAACTTCATATCAGGTGAGGTGAGGTCAAATTGGGTTTAACGTCGTGCTTGAGAATATTTCGCTCATATGACGACGTGCATGCGTGTGCATGTGTATGTGCGGCTGCTTGTACTAGCCCAGACTTAAGCTGGTTTTATAGTGCTAGCCGACTGAGATACCATGCCGCAGTGAAGCATACATACCTCACTCAGACACATTATACTGACTCCGAGCCGACCAGTCTTTGTTGTACCCATTAATGCCGAGAGCCAGACAGTGACCAACAAGTACCATATTTTAACGTCTTTTGGAATGACGCGGTCGGGGATCAAACCCGTGACCTTCCGCTCTCCGGGCGGACGCTCTAACCACTACACCACGGAGGCGGTCCGCAACTTCATATAAACAAACATACATTTTGTATTACATCTGCAGAAACATATTTCTGTCAGTAAATAAAGAGAAATGAAATGACATCATTGATCTATCACGACTGATGAACTAAAATGCAGATACACTGAGAATAGTTTCAGAATCTAACTGTTTTCTAGTCTTGTCTTCATGGTCATTCAAATTAAAGTATACATATAACCAGTCATGCAAAATTGTGTACATACATGTATGAGCATACAATCTGAATTATTAGGTTTGAATTAAGATGATCATTTGAGTTTCCCAGGTCCTATACCATACAGGTGGAGGTTTTCTTTAAAAGCAGTTTATAGAAAGAACTAAAAAACTTCATCATTACACCAGTGTTCACTAATGGTGTTTCAAAGTAACAGGACATTGGGTCCTGTAAGTTTCAGATGTCTGTCTGACCCATTGAAAATTACCCATACAATAAAATTAAACACACATTTCAGATTTAACATTTCTTATAATTGGCATTGAAATTAGTAACAAACATAAGATTTAAACAGGAAACAAGTGTTACATGCCACATATAACAACTTCAGTCAAAGTCATTGTGAAACATACAGTCAGATACTGGGGCCGGTGGGTTGTAGACTTCTATCAGACCGTTGGCGAATCTGCCGGATTTGTCAGAGGGTCAGACGCTATTGGTGAACACTGTTACACAGTGCAGTGCTTCATAGCTTAATAATACTTTATAGCAGAAAAAATATTACACAGCGATATGAGGATTTTGCCATTTTGTTTTGCACTATCATTAAAAGAACTAGTGGAAAAGAAAGTTTGTTTCTATAGTTGCTGGATTTGAGATTACGTATATGACCTTCACCAAGTTGGAAGCAATGATCATAATATTCGGTGTTTGCAGTTGAGTTTTTCCAGCGGTAAACGACTAATCTGAACACCTAACTTCGTCCTAGGATCCCTGTGGTTAGTGAAATCACAGGACCTCTGCATTTGTAACCTTTAACCACAGGCAGTGTGAAAAATAGTTTCCAAATTTTAAAAGCCAGTCGGGCTAGCTATGCCCGAGAGAGTTACTTGCCCACATAATAATTCACTAGCCTGAAATTTGAATGTAGACACAGGTTTTATCACTAAACTAATATAAGTGTATTATAACTTAACAAGTCAGAGAGAGTGATATATTTACAATATGACCCCATGAAAATTCACTAGCCAGTCGGGCCAGTGACTGTGGAGATTTACTGGCCTGACTGGATTTTTACTAGCCACGGGCTAGCGGGCCAGTGGCTATTTCCCACACTGATCATAGGTCATCACTTAGTGTTACATTCAGACACTGTATTAGTATGATATAGAAGCAATATTGATACACCTACACCAGCTGAAGCAAGGCTATATACAAGCAAGGATCTAGGCCAACCAACCCACCTCAAAGCTCGGCTTTGAAAGCAGAGGGAACTAGAACTCGACTTTCCTTACTTACCCCTCTGCCCAGCCCCAGAGTCTCACTGTTGAGGTAGCCTGGTGGTAGGTTAACTGCAACCTTGATTGTCCGCTCACCGACCGAGATCCTAAAACACACAAAAAACATATCGGCCAAGTGGATTACTGTCAGGTACTATTAGTGGCTACAATTTTTTGTACTACAGAGTACAGTGCCTTGTGTGCAGTCTTATGTAGAGTGCTAACATTTTGTTCTTGCTTAATGCCACACTCAGCAATATTCCAGCTGTATGGCTGTTTGGTCTGTAAATAATCAAGTCTGGACCAGACAATCCAGTGATCAACAACATGAGCATTGATCTACACAATTAGGATATGATGACATGTGTCAACCAAGTCAGCAAGCCTGACTACCTGAACCCACCTGAACCCACTAGTTGCTAGTTATGATGAGCATGCATGGCTGAAGACCAATTCTAATCCAAACCATGCAAGGATGAAACCAATGAACTTAGTATAGATGAGTGAGTGAATGAGTTGGGTTCTACTCCAATTATAGGCGTAAACATTCCCTCTGGATTATGGTTGCCTTATTCCTGTGGATTCACAGACACATACAGAATGGAAATGTAAATTTTAACTAAGTCATAGCTATCCCTAGTGGCATGCTCAAAAGAGTCATGCAGTTATCTCCCTTAGCCGTGACGTCACAACATAGTTGTTGAAAACCTCTCATAATTTTTCTGTATGGACAACACAGAAGACGTGTTTACAGAGTGGAAGTGTTTTCAAATTTTCTTCAAATTTTTAAGAACTACAAGACTCCTGGTCAGTAATGAAATTAGTATACAGATGAGTGAGTGAGTGAGTTGGGTTCTACTCCACTTTGAACAGTAATCCAGTTACATCACAGCATAGCAGTTTCATGGGGAGTTAAGCTTAAGTGATAATGGTGTCCAACATGTATCCCTTGGTAAATCCTGTAAGACCAATAATGGTGCTGACACCATAATAAGGGTCAACCAGGAAATGAACCTATGATCATAGGTTACAGGCAGACCCAAGGGGCACAGCAACAGCAGAGCCTGAACATCTGGGCATCTGTTGCACTATGCAACATTAGCACAGAGACTATTGTAAGCCTATGCTAGTGAATGTGTATGTAGTGTAGCACTAGATAGCTTTGTGCAACTGACCACCGGAGTGTTGTGGTCTGTCTGCTGTCTGTTAGACCAGTTACTTTGCTGACAAACTGGAATGCATAATCCGACTGACTGACTGACTGAGTTTGGTTTTACGCCGCTTTTAGCAATATTCCAGCAACATCACGGCGGGGGACACCAGAAATGGGCTTCACACATTGTACCCATGTGGGGATTCGAACCCGGGTCTTCGGCGTGACGAGCCAACGCTTTAACCATTAGGCCCCCATAATCCGGCTGAACTGGGATTTGAACACATAACCACAGGGCCCCGTTTCACAAAGCTATTGAAGCACGACAACTGTCGTAAGTCTCTGTTACACTATAGGAGGTGCGACAGTCGTAGCGCTATGATAGCTTTGTGAAATGGGGCCCAGGTTACAGGTACACCTAAGGGACACAACTCAAGGACAACTGGGCCATATGTGTCACCCAAGAGTGTTACGGTTTGTCTACTGTAGGCTTGCTAACCTGCCGTCTCCCAGCAAGGGCATCCAGGCAAAGCCGACGGGGAACTCGATGTTGTTCTTGGACTTGAGGGAGGATGAGGACGTCTTGGGGCCGGTCTTGGAGGCCTCGCAGCTGACGTGGTACAGCTTCAGCAGCAGATGGTGCTTCTCATGGAGCTGTGTGGGCAGAGCTATCTTCACCTGCAACAAGTCAACAATGTCTGCAGTGTTAAGAAAGAATTACATCCTTTCAGGCAGTTTTATTTTTATTCAGAAAGACTGACTGACTGAGTTCGGTTTTACCCCGCTTTTAGCAATATTCCAGCAATATCACGGCATGGGACACCAGAAATGGGCTTCACTCATTGTACCCATGTGGGGATTCGAACCAGCTTTACCCACTAGGCTACCCCACCGCCCCTTATTCAGAAAGAAAAGGACATTATGTTACATGTAGCATGGAATCGAGCAGGTGCTTGTGGTTTAACACTGTACCATATCATTTTATTTATTTGTTTGGTTTTTACAGTCATAATTGTTTCAGAACTTTGTTTAATGCTCACTGACTTGGTTGACACATGTCATCGTATCCAAGTTGATGCTCACACTGTTGATCACTGGATTGTCTGGTCCAGACTTGATTATTTACACACTGCCATCATATAGCTGCAATATTGTTGAGTGCGGTGTTAAATAAGAAACAAACAAAACAAACGTTTAATGTCACACTCTGTCCCACCCTCCAGCTATATGGGGGCAGCATGAAAACAATCCAGTCAGTGGTCTGTGTGTACGTACCTCCTCTGTGAACTCCGGCGTGGTGTTGTGATGTAGGACAGCCGTGGTGGCTTCCGTCGTGAACACCGACGTATGGGGGCGACCGTATATACACTGTTGGACAAACAGAAGCACTTACAACTTGTCTTATCTTGCCTCACACATAAATGTCGTTTTCTGATTGGCTGAGCGCTCTTCTATTATTTTCAATGCACCCCACTTACAAGCGAGTAACATTTTCTATGTACCCTGCTGAAAATGCCAACTCATTTGGTACTGCCTAGTAGTAATTCTTTATCTTGAATAACATTGAATCATGTATGATGTACGGAAATTACCGATGTTTTGCGAATACAAATAGTGCTAGGCCACTGAGATAACTCTAAATTTGTTTTTCTTGTCGTTTGATACTCCATACTATGATCTTATACCCGTGCTTCAAACAGTTCAAAATTACCACTGAGGTGTTCGGTAAGATAAATATGTTGTTCACTGGTCCCTTGGAGCCCATGGGTTGGCGATACCCTCAAGACCAGTGAACAACTTGTCATATACAACTTGCACAATACATCTGCTATAGTGCTAGCCCACTGAGATACCATGCCGCAGTGAAGCATGAATACCCCACTCAGACACATTATACTGACTCCGAGCTGACCAGTCCTTGTTGTACCCATTAATGCCGAGCGCCAGGTAGGGACCAACTAGTACCATATTTTAACGTCTTTTGGTATGACGCGGTCGGGGATCGAACCCGCGACCTTCCGCTCTCCGGGCAGACGCTCTAACCACTACACCACGGAGGCGGTACCCAGACTTTGGAATAGTAGCTAACGTCGTTGACTGAAGTTGAATCTTACTGAAATGGTCGACTAAGCAGAACCGATGCTTACCTTCAGTGGCACAGCTCCTTCGTCATCCGAGTCTCTCATCTCGATACAGCAGGCGATGTTCCTTGCCTGGAACACAGTAATATCTTCCTGTCTGGGATGTCTACTGACTGGTTAACTACGTCTTCATAAAGTGAGTGCATGAATAGGGTTTAATGCTGTATCATGTTTCAGCTGTATCAAGCACAAAGGCAGATGCATGAAAACCGACACTCTGCATCCAAGAGGGAACTAAACCTGGTTCTCTTCTTGGTGCAACATGTAAATACTTTACCCACTTGGATACACTTCATTATTAAACCAATGATATTTTCAAACTCTATTCGCCAATATCAGAGTTTTGACCAAATGACCTGGGCCCCGTTCCTCAAAGCGATCGTAGCGCTACGACAGTCGTAAGTCTATGTTAAAGTATGGGAGTTACGACAGTCGTAGCGCTACGATTGCTTTGAGGAACGGGGCCCTGAATCCCTCAGCTTATCTCAGACAGCATTGGGAGGAATCCATAATGGATATAACAGTTTCACTGGTTCACATAACTATCAAATTACACTGTGATTATCTGATTATAGTGGTGACTCTGTAAATAACTGAATAACTAGTTATCTCATAATGCAGGACAGAGGTAAGGAAGGTCCAAGGTGTGTACCGAGATAAACCAACAATCATGAGTATCAAATCAATCAAATTAGACATTTGTAATGCGCTACATATTCAGCGTCCTGCTCATGTGTTGATATTTTCCGATTTTCTGACATTTTCAGATAATCCATTCCAGAGTACAGCACCTGCTCTGCTAAATGTTCTGTCCCCGTATGTTGTGGTTCGGACAGATGGAACATCTAAGCTTTGCTGACTAACCATTCACCATTCTCAGCTACATCACCGGATCCTGAAACACTAAGGGTAACAACTCTGTACAGAGAATAACTCCATCCCCGCAGCCTGATGTGTTTCCTACCTTTGTGAATGTTTTCTGGCTGTCGTACTTGAGAGCCAGGGGGTAGACGTAGAGGTGGTTCAGGTAGTAGTCATAGGAGGTGTACAGCGGCGCCTTGTCTGGCACAAACTCCTGCACCTCGATGGATGGCGTCTGGGTTGGCGGGCTGGGGAAAGGGCTTACAGGCACAAGAGATGGCGTCAGCACATCTGTGGAAGTCAACAGCGAGTGAGGGAGTTGTGTTCAATGCTGAACTTTATTTCAGTTACACCAATGTTCAATAGAAATTGGCACAAACCTGCTAGCCTATTATTCAGTGATATCAGTGATTTCTTCAGGCTGTTGTGGAACTGGTCCGAACTATGGGCTGCACACTGTACCCAGGTGGGAATCAAACTCAGCCTTCAGTGTGACAAGCAAGTGCTTTTACCACTGGGCTACCAATAAATCTATATCAGACCTGTTGATCGTTGATGTTGAATTGTGTGGCAAGTGAGGGGTTAGGGTTTGGTTCCATTTTGAAAAGCATGTCAGCTTAACGTTGAAGGAAAGTCATTAAAGCCTACACACTTACATCAATGGATATGGTCAGTGTGAAAACAGGTCTTCTGCAACCCATGTTTGTCGCAAGAGGCGACTAACGGGATTGGGTGTTCAGGTTCGCTCACTTGGTTGACACATGTCATCGTATCCCAGTTGGGTAAATTGATGCTCATGCTGTTGATCACTGGATTGTCTGGTCCAGATATGATTATTTACAGACCACCGCCATATAGCTGGAATACTGCTGAGTGCAGAGTAAAACTGAACTCAGTCACTCACTCACTCATTGGACATGGTGCTAACAAACCAAGGATTATCATTAGACAAAATCTGGGACTCAAACCCAGGACTGGATAGCAAGATGTTTTAGGCAATTGTATCCATGTGTAGGACAAAGACTTACGGTTGATGACATGACTGCACTAGGCTACCCCACCACACCAGTGAGCAAGACTGACTGACTGACTGACTGACTGACTGAGTTTGGTTTTACGCCGCTTTTAGCAATATTCCAGCAACATCACGGCTGGGGACACCAGAAATGGGCTTCACACATTGTACCCATGTGGGGATTCGAACCCGGGTCTTCGGGCGTGACAGTGAGCAAGAGAGGGGTTAGGATTTAGTAATATTTTGAACAGCATGTCAGCTTAAAGTCTGAGGGCAGTCATGAAGACACACTTACATCACAGGATATGGTGCAGACATACCAAAGATTATCATTACAGAAAATCTGGGAGTCAAACCCACAATCACAAGATGTTTTAGACAATTGTAGCCATGTGCAGGACGAAGACTTACTGTTGATGACTTGACTGCAGGGCACATGTTCGAACCAGATCTTCAGCACACCGGGGATAGTCTGCAACTTGCTCTGCTTCTCTGGTCTACGAAGACAACATCCGATGAGAAACAACAGGAACCATACAAACAATACTCTTTTTTCTTAATAATTTGGTACAAAATATTTAAGAAATAGATACCTGCGTATAACATTCAATACACCATGTTACTCTAGAGTCTCTCGCGGCTGGCATCTGTCCACTAACCACCTACCTATCCTAGTGTACCGTATTCAGACACTAAATGTGTTCTCACTTTTTAGACCCGTGAAGATCGACAACTCATGCTTGTCGTAATAGGCAATTAACAGGATCGGGTGATCATTCTCACTCTCTTGGCTGACACATGTCATTGTATCCCAATTGATGCTCATGCTGTTGATTACTGAATTGTCTGGCCCAGATATGACTATTCAAAGACCATATAGCTGGGAAAATGCTGTGTGTAGCAATAAACAACAAATGAAAAAGCAAAAAATATGGACATACTTTTTAAAGTCCTGCAGCTGTTTGATAATCTCATCCTCCGACATCTTGGATCCTTCCTGTCTGTAGATGGGCAGGGTCGTATGTCCGTATGCTGTGGTTCCAATGGGTCTGCAAGCACACAATGAACCAAAGTCTCTATAAATAGATCACTGCACTATTTGCTGTAAGATAACCTTAGTCTTATGAGCTGTAAAACAAACGATTTGTGAACTTTTAATGCCAACTACATGTTTGACGCCATCCTTTGGTCTAATCCTGTCTCACTTTGCTGACCATGCAAAGGGCATGCGATAACGTACAACTACATATTCGACATCAACCTTATGACGTCACTACGCCTTGCTCGTCTGCCCCCTTGGTAACCGACGTCACGATGCATGTCAGTTGTCATCGCCTCATACAGCCTCCTACATTAAACTACTCCGTAGCACCCCGTTTCTTGGTTTGCAATTGCTTCGACGGATATGTCTCAGTTCGACTCACAATTAAACAGCGACACGGCAACGTTCGCAATGTTTACATTCCCACAATGCATACAAGTTGTAGAATGAATGAATTCACATGTTTGTAATGAATGAAAAAAGGGTTCTGTCACAACGTGACCTAATTGAGAGGTCATCGGTTATCCAATCAAATCGTAAGAATCTCAGGTCAAGTCGTTACGACACAGGGCAATGCGATACAACACTCGTGTGACGTACGAGATCAGTATGCAACTACCCATACGTTGACCACGTGGGTAATAAAACTACATATTCGACATCAACCTTTGGTCTAATCCTGTCTCACCTTGCTGACCATGCAAAGGGCATGCGATAATGTCCAATGTGATTGCACAGCTGTTTCATCTGCCGATGGACTTTTGTTGCGATCTTCTGGTCGGCTAATTTAATGTAAGGATCCACACACTGCGAGATTCCTCCTTGTAGCACCTTTTCAATCTTGGCCACCAGGTAAATCTCAGAGTGACGGCGGATCACCGTAAAGATACCCTGCAAGGAGACAGACGTACACACGTCCAGAGAGACACATCCCAGAAAAACACTGTGAGTTGAAGGGTTTTTTAACACTATTCCACCTAAGTTCACCCAGGGGCACAGAAGGGGCTCAAAACATCATTGTATCACTTTGAGTGAGTGAGTGAGTGAGTGAATTTAGTTTTACGCTGCTTTTAGCAATATTCCAGCAATATCACGGCGGGGGACACCAGAAATGGTCTTAACACATTGTACCAATGTGGGGAATCGAACCCGGGTCTTCGGCGTGACAAGCGAACGCTTTAACCACTAGGTTACCCCACCGCCCCTCGTATCACTTTGAAATTAAACTTTAAAGCATTCAGCCAATGCATTAACAACTAAATCCTCTTGGAAGTAATATGGCAGTGGTTAATATTGTTCCTTTGAAAAACAAAAATAATCAAGGCATAGTTTGCACAATTTTAGCGATGCTAGCATGACTGTTCTAAAACTGCCTTGTAAAAAGAGGTTCAGGGATCAACTGCACTTTAAGATCTCAGTGGCGAAAATTGTCCAATATTTATCAATTATGTTGCTGATGAAGCTAACTGCAAATATTAACTGCTATCAATTTCTAAAATAATATTGCATTCCTAAAATTACTTTTAACATGAAATGTAATAGATTCAATCCAAAACAAACGATTTGTTATGAAAGAGAACAGAAGTTTCCCCGGTAAAAGAAGGGTACCTGTCGCTTGCGGCGCAACCATTCATCGCTCAGACCATTGAGATCTGGCATTGTTTCCCGCCCCTCCACCGTATGCAGCTTGTCCGAGGCCTGCAGGATGTCGGGGGGGATCATACGGCTGATTTCTGGCTCATTTGGATCGACCACAAAATCTTCGGAAATCTTCTTGCCTTCCTTGGCATCGTACAAGGCAAACGAGATAAAGAAGGGTTCCGGCTGCGGACATAAGAAGTACAATCACTGGCATTGTTAGGTAACCTGTGACAACAATAATCAGTGATTTGTACTGTGTTCTTCTAACTACGAGATTCCATTAGATTTCAAGAAAAGAACTAATAATGAAATCTCTGGATCAAAAGGGGATTATCAAACTTTACCAATGTTTTGCCTTTGGCATGGTGAGTGCTTAAACCAAATTTGTTTGTTTGTTTGTTGTTTAACGTTGCACTTAGTGATATTCCAGCTATATGGCTGCTGTCTGTTCATAATCAAGTCTTGACCAGACACAACAGTGATCAACAGCATGAGCATCGATCTACACATCTGGGATACAATGTGTCAACCAAGTCATTGAGCCTGACCACCCAATCCCGTCGTCTCTTAGGAAAAGCATGGGTTGCTGAAGACCCTTCAATTCTAACCCTCCATGGGTACATTACCAAGCACACACTGCCCAAAATAATACTGAATTAATCAAGTGTAGATCAGAGCCAGGTCTCCATGTACCAACTCACATTGCAGACTTTGTTTCCCTGACCCTCGTCGGCCATGTTGACCTGCAGCTTTAGGGAGAACTCTTCAAGGCGGAGGAGAAATCTTTCTGCATCCTGTTTCGGAAATACGTCAATCTCATCCTCCTCTTCTACCTCCTCCTCCTCTTCAAAGTTTGTCCTCTGCAAGAAATATTCCTGTGAAAACCTGTTTGTTAACACTTAAACAACTAAACCATTCCTCTGTATTTGAGATTACACTTTTTCTGACCACTTTCAAAAAGGAATTGTGTATTCATTAATAATTCTCAGAATAAGATGACTTTCATTTTTTATTTCAGTAAAAATTATGAAAGTTCAATGTCAGTCACAAATACATTTGACACAAAATTTGACACAAACAAATTTCACAGAATGTGGGGCTCCGTAACGTTTGAATTCGTTCCATTAAATCTGCAATGGCTGTACAGAGGATTGTGAAACCTTGACATGAGTACACACCAGTCAAGGTTCAGTCTTGTGTACAAATCCATTAGGGTCTTTCTATATCGTGAGGTGAGGTGAGGTGAAAGTGGATTTAACATCGTGCTTGAGAATATTTCGCTCATATGACGACGTGCATGCGTGTGTGTGTATGTGCGGCTGCTTGTACTAGCCCAGACTTAAGCTGGATTTATAGTGCTAGCCCACTGAGATACCATGCCGCAGTGAAGCATGAATACCCCACTCAGACACATTATACTGACTCCGAGCCGACCAGTCCTTGTTGTACCCATTAATGCCGAACGCCAGGCAGGGACCAAAAAGTACCATATTTTAACGTCTTTTGGTATGACGCGTTCGGGGATCGAACCCGCGACCTTCTGCTCTCAGGGCGAACGCTCTAACCACTACACCACGGAGGCGGTCTTCTATATCCTGAACAGCGAACCAGTGACACAAGGAACTCATCGACTTACCCTCATGTCCGGGTAGACGTGGAACAGGTTCTGTCGACCCTCCTGACGGGCACTTGACAGTGACAGGTCAGATTCTCGTGAGTACTGAAACAGAGTTATCTCCCTTAGAGCACACTGCCATTTGAAATTCAAGAAAACATGTGACAAATAAATCAGAAAATAGTCCCTTCAAGTTCAGCATTTTTTCTTGTAAATTGGTGAACTTGGCATACACATTAATGTTTCAGTAACCTGTAAATCCAAATTGACCTAGTTGAAGAACGTTTACTTCATTGTTGAACACAACAACCCCAGTTCATCAAGGGACAGATCCACAAAGTACTCAAAGCATTACAGCATTTCTAAGCCTAACCATATAGTCAAGCATACAGTATTGCTTCGTATCTGAATATATATCAGTGTTCACGAATGGTGTTTCAAAGTAACAGGACATTGGGTCCTGTAAGTTTTAGATGTCTGTCTGACCCATTGAAAATTCACAGGACCCATAGAATAAAGTCAAACACACATTTCAGATTTAACATTTCTTATAACATTGAAATTATAACAAACATAAGATTTATAAACAGCAAACAAGTGTCACATGTCACATATAACAACTTCAGTCAAAATCATTGTGAAATATACAGTCAGACACTGGGGCTGGTGGGTTGTAACTTCTATCAGACCGTTGGCTTAATCTGCCGGATTTGTCAGAGGGTCAGACGCTATTCGTGAACACTGACATATCATTTTGAGAGAAACATAGTTACTTCAAAATTGAAAAGGAGCCCAATGAGGTGGGAACCTGAGGAAATCAAGACTTGCTTCATTCCGGGCTTTGACAATGCAGGGAGGGTTGGGTGTAAGGGACAATAATGCAGTTCCGGGGATTGTGAGACAGACTAAGTCAAGTTCTGTGTACCTTTACAACTGGATGGTTCATGGAACTCTCCTTGTAGTTCTCAGCACGACCGGGAGCTGGAAGATCCTCTGGAAGGAAAGATATCAACAAGTTTAAAAATGTTCCATCAATTGCAATGTCTGACTGAGATGATGGAGTTGGTTTAATGTTGACTTGACCAATATTTTGGTGTCATGAAAGAGAGAAGCAATACAGATCTCTGACATACACGACTAAAGTAAACTGTGGCGCAGCACACTTAGATTTCAGACTTATATATACATATCAACTTCTGTGAATTATTTACAGACAAAGGGTCTAAATATGCAGATTTGAAATCTGTACAAAAACTGTCAAATAAATATATCACCCTTGTCTGACACACCCATAATGGTAATGTCCTTGTAATATGTGAGAACCTACAGGTTCCGATCCTGAGATGCTCTGATTATGTAAATGGACTGCATGCTACTAGCTGATTATCAACAAGCATTGTCACTGAGGTGACATAATCCCCTGCCATAAATTATAAAATCAAACTTAAAAAGTAATGAAAGTTTAAGATGAAGTTAAATGTCAACAAAAACATGACCGGTAAACCTCTCTTGATATCTTTCTTCTCTTTAGTTGTTCAAAGACACAAATATTTTCGAGACTGACTTTGACCTTGACATGAATGTCATAGTGTATGAAATATGCAAAAATGATACTAAAGAAATTGTTTATTGAAAAACATTCCTTGAAAAGTTTATGAAGGTCACCACAATTGACTGGGCCCTGAGCCTACATTAGATGAAGCTATGTGTCAAATATGAAGAAAATCCAGTGAATGGTTCTTGAGATATGAACGGGTTTTGCGATATCTTGCTATCTTATACTGCAATTTAACATGCTGAAATCTTCAAAGTGTCTTTGTGACCTTGAACATTAAGTGAAGGTCACCAAAATCGACTGGGCCTTGCACTTTCCCTAGAAGAAGCTTGGTGTCAAATATAAAGAAAGTCCAGAGAATGGTTCTTGAGATATGTCGCTGACCATCTTAACATGCAGGTTAACATACTAAATCTTCGAAGGTCACTGTGACCTTGAAAATTAAGTGAAGGTCACCAAAATCGACTGGGCCCTGCTCTTCCCCTAGATAAAGGTTGGTGTTGAATATGAAGAAAATCCAGTGAACGGTTCTTAAGATAGCTTAACATGCAGGTTAACAACTGAACTCTTCAAAGTGTCGCCGTGACCTTGAGAATTATGTGAAGGTCACCAAAATCGACTGGGCCCTGCGCCTTCCCTAGATAAAGCTTCGTTTTGAATATGAAGAAAATCTAGTTAGCGGTTCTTGAGATATCTCGCTGACAAGAGTAAATCGTTAAGTCCCCTTGTGACCTTGAAATGACGGTCAAGGTCACCAAACCTGACTGGGACCTTTCTTATATTGTGATGAACCTAGGTACCAAATATGAAAAGAATCTAGTCAACGGTTCTTAAGATATTCCAATTTGTACGTACGGACGGAAAGCCTAATACTATATCCCCCGCTTCGCGCTAAACGCCCGGCGGGGGATTAATAACAAAGCAGTTACAAGTCCAAAGATTTATATTTTCTGTTTGTAACATTTACACACACTCTGCGCTAGTACTAGCTGTATTCATTTTCTGTGCTTCTCAACAACCAAATCCAGCACTCAAATTCTTAATCTTTAAAATCTATGCTTTAAGTTACTAATGATGCATATGTGGTCTTCAGCTGTCGTAACGTGACTGGCTCCATCCTCACCTTTGATGCTGTCCCTGGACACTTGGGACGCTGTCTCCGCAGCACTGATGACCTTGTTCAAGGTCACAATCCACTCCTCCATGTCGACCTCGCTGTCCGCAGCTAACAGACACGACGAACCTTCACTCATCCTGATCTCAAAGCAGTACTTGCCCTTCTTTGTGTTCTGGAAATGTTAAGTAGATCGGATTCAAACATCATCTCGTGATAAAAAACAACTGATTAGCAGGACATCTTGACAGGAAGTGATTTTGTAACATTTTGTGGGCTTCTCATGACATATTTTCACTCCATTTGGCATCTCCAATGAAAGTTTTATGATATTTTGCAAAGAAAAAGACGAGCAATTTGAAGCAGCAATGTGTTTCTCTCCCCAACAGTAGAGTGGGTGGATTTGTTGTTAATGAACTTAAAAAGTTCAAAAAATTATTTTGGATGATAAATTTCACTCTATTACCAACCATATTTACCAACCATATCAACATTCATAAATAATAGGTGAGAATCGTTTGCAATGTTCAGAGTTTTAAACTTGTATCAACCCATTTTGATATACAGTAAACAAGTTCAAATGAACTCAAAGGGACCAGTTATTAAAGTTAATTATAACCATAGTTCTTTATCAGCATATCGAATAACATTATAAGTTGTTCACTGGTCACGAGGGGGACATGAGCTGATGTACCCTCAATGTTTGCTTATGTTCCCTGAGCCCGAAGGGCCCCCGAGGCGTATTTATCTTACCGAACGTATCTATCTTACTGAACACCTCAATGGTAATTTTGAACTGTTTGAAGCACGGGTATAGTATGGAGTACCAGACCACAAGACGACAAGAAGAACAAATTTAGAGTTATCTCCCTTCCATCGATTTGCATTCGCAAAACATCGGTAATTTCCGTGAGTCAATATGTGAGTCAATGTTATTCGAGATAAAGAATAACTATTACGAAGTACCAAATGAGTTCGGCATTCCCAGCGGGGTACGTAGAAAATGTTACTCGCTTGTAAGTGGGGTACATTGAAATAATAGAAGAGCACTCAGCCAATCAGAAAACGACATTTATGTGTGAGGCAAGATAAGTATAAAATACAGCAAATGGCCAGGGCAAACATAATACCAGTTCAGTATATCCAGTGTGTGAAATAGCCACTGGCCCGCTAGCACGTGGCTAGTAAAAATCCAGTCAGGCCAGTAAATCTCCACAGTCACTGGCCCGACTGGCTAGTAAATTTTCATGGGGTCATATTGTAAATATATAACTCTCTCTGACTTGTTAAGTTATAATACACTTACATTAGCAGTTTAGTGATGAAACCCGTGTCTACATTCAAACTTCGGGTTAGTGAATTATTATGTGGACTACTCTTGGGCATAGCTAGCCCGACTGGCTTGCAAAATTTGGAAACTATTTTGTACACTGACTATATCGGTCAGTTCATTATACGTGTCTTCATATAAACATAGTTTAAACTGCAATTCAAATGACACCAAGGTGGGATTCTCTACTAAACATGGCAAGTTTCCTGGACTATTCTGATAAATGATTTACACTGTTGATGTATGAAATGATTTGCTCGATGATGTGTACCTTGACGACGTCAGTAGCCAGATCCAAATACACGGCACCCTTCACCTCCGCCTTCTTCTCATCCTTGAAGAACTCCAGGATGTATGTGAAGTCTGTCTGTTGCTTCAGTAGAAAGTAGCGACGTTTGAATTGCTGCAATTAAAAATGATTCAATGTGATTATAAAGCATAGTCTTTCAACTCATCTTAAGATATGTTAACTCATGTCAAACGTCACCACCATCATACAGTCATACGTTGCCAGTTCTCAGGGTCCAAGGACGACACTCTGCATTATATTATATATAAGTACATTTAAAAAATGTTAGTGTATTCGTTCATGCTTACAATACTAAAATACAAAAGTGTGTCAATGAGGAAAATACAATTGTACCAAGTATTATGCATCATGTATATTTCAATGGGAACTGTATTGTAGTGAAAATACATTGATGAAACACTCTGACGTGTCATTTCTAGCATAGTTAGTTACAAAAGAATTATTTTAACAGGCACTATCTGGGACCACGTTCAAGAGAGAGTTACCTCCCTTGATCCACTGATCGTCCAGTTTCACCCAGATTATTAACCAATAAACTTGCAAGATTCTTAACAGCTGCAGAACAACAGTATTTGTACGAAATGATATGGACATTATGTAGTGAGGTGTATCATGGTTCAAATATAGTAGTTAGGTGTATTGTGGTAGTGTCATGAGGTGTATTGTGGTAGTGACATCGTGAGGTGTATTGTGGTAGTGACATCGTGATGTGTATTGTGGTAGTGACATTGTGAGGTGTATTGTGGTAGTGACATTGTGAGGTGTATTGTGGTAGTGACTCATGAGGTGGTACATTGTGTGTATTGTGGTAGTGACATCGTGAGGTGTATTGTGGTAGTGACATTGTGAGGTGTATTGTGGTAGTGACATCGTGAGGTGTATTGTGGTAGTGACATCGTGAGGTGTATTGTGGTAGTGACATCGTGAGGTGTATTGTGGTAGTGACATCGTGAGGTGTATTGTGGTAGTGACATCGTGAGGTGTATTGTGGTAGTGACATTGTGAGGTGTATTGTGGTAGTGACATCATGAGGTGTATTGTGGTAGTGACATCATGAGGTGTATTGTGGTAGTGACATTGTGAGGTGTATTGTGGTAGTGACATTGTGAGGTGTATTGTGGTAGTGACATCATGAGGTGTATTGTGGTAGTGACATCATGAGGTGTATTGTGGTAGTGACATCGTGAGGTGTATTGTGGTAGTGACATCGTGAGGTGTATTGTGGTAGTGACATCATGAGGGTGTATTGTGGTAGTGACATCATGAGGTGTATTGTGGTGTAGTGACATCATGAGGTGTATTGTGGTAGTGACATCATGAGGTGTATTGTGGTAGTGACATCATGAGGTGTATTGTGGTAGTGACATCATGAGGTGTATTGTGGTAGTGACATCATGAGGTGTATTGTGGTAGTGACATCGTGAGGTGTATTGTGGTAGTGACATCATGAGGTGTATTGTGGTAGTGACATCGTGAGGTGTATTGTGGTAGTGACATTGTGAGGTGTATTGTGGTAGTGACATCATGAGGTGTATTGTGGTAGTGACATCATGGAGGTGTATTGTGGTAGTGACATTGTGAGGTGTATTGTGGTAGTGACATCATGAGGTGTATTGTGGTAGTGACATGTAGTGGTGTATTGTGGTAGTGACATCGTGAGGTGTATTGTGGTAGTGACATCGTGAGGTGTATTGTGGTAGTGACATCGTGAGGTGTATTGTGGTAGTGACATCGTGAGGTGTATTGTGGTAGTGACATCATGAGGTGTATTGTGGTAGTGACATCGTGAGGTGTATTGTGGTAGTGACATCATGAGGTGTATTGTGGTAGTGACATTGTGAGGTGTATTGTGGTAGTGACATCATGAGGTGTATTGTGGTAGTGACATCGAGGTGTATTGTGGTAGTGACATCGTGAGGTGTATTGTGGTAGTGACATCAAGTGGGTGTATTGTGGTAGTGACATCATGAGGTGTATTGTGGTAGTGACATCGCGAGGTGTATTGTGGTAGTGACATCGCGAGGTGTATTGTGGTAGTAGTGACATCGCGTGAGGTGTATTGTGGTAGTGACATCGTGGGGTGTATTGTGGTAGTGACATGTAGAGGTGTATTGTGGTAGTGACATCGTGAGGTGTATTGTGGTAGTGACATCATGAGGTGTATTGTGTAGGTGTATTGTGTATTGTGTAGTGACATCGTGAGGTGTATTGTGGTAGTGACATCATGAGGTGTATTGTGGTGTACATTGTGAGGTGTATTGTGGTAGTGACATCGTGAGGTGTATTGTGGTAGTGACATCGTGAGGTGTATTGTGGTAGTGACATCGTGAGGTGTATTGTGGTAGTGACATCGTGGAGGTGTATTGTGGTAGTGACATCGTGGAGGTGTATTGTGGTAGTGACATCGTGAGGTGTATTGTGGTAGTGACATCGTGAGGTGTATTGTGGTAGTGACATCGTGAGGTGTATTGTGGTAGTGACATCGTGAGGTGTATTGTGGTAGTGACATCATGAGGTGTATTGTGGTAGTGACATCGTGAGGTGTATTGTGGTAGTGACATCATGAGAGGTGTATTGTGGTAGTGACATCGTGAGGTGTATTGTGGTAGTGACATCATCGAGGTGTATTGTGGTAGTGACATCGTGAGGTGTATTGTGGTAGTGACATCGCGGAGGTGTATTGTGGTAGTGACACATGTATTGTGGTAGTATTACATCGTGAGGGTGTATTGTGGTAGTGACATCGTGGTGTATTGTGGTAGTGACATCGTGAGGTGTATTGTGGTAGTGACATCGCGGGTGGTTGTATTGTGGTAGTGAGTGACATCGAGGTGTATTGTGTAGTTGTGGTATTGTGTGACGCCGTGAGGGTGTATTGTGGTAGTGACATCGCAAGGTGTATTGTGGTAGTGACATCGTGAGGTGTATTGTGGTAGTGACATCACGAGGTGTATTGTGGTAGTGACTTCGTGAGGTGTATTGTGGTAGTGACATCGTAAGGTGTATTGTGGTAGTGACATCATGAGGTGTATTGTGGTAGTGACTTTGTGAGGTGTATTGTGGTAGTGACATTGTGAGGTGTATTGTGGTAGTGACATCATGAGGTGTATTGTGGTAGTGACATCATGAGGTGTATTGTGGTAGTGACATCGTGAGGTGTATTGTGGTAGTGACATTGTGAGGTGTATTGTGAAAGTGACATCGTGAGGTGTATTGTGGTAGTGACATCGTGAGGTGTATTGTGGTAGTGACATCGTGAGGTGTATTGTGGTAGTGACATTGTGAGGTGTATTGTGGTAGTGACATGAGGTGTATTGTGGTAGTGACATCGTGTAAGGTGTATTGTGGTAGTGACATCATGAGGTGTGTATTGTGGTACATGGTAGTGACATCGTGGAGGTGTATTGTGGTAGTGACATCGTGGAGGTGTATTGTGGTAGTGACATCGTGAGGTGTATTGTGGTAGTGACATCGTGAGGTGTATTGTGGTAGTGACATCGTGGTGTATTGTGGTAGTGACATCGTGAGGTGTATTGTGGTAGTGACATCGCGAGGTGTATTGTGGTAGTGACATCGTGAGGAGTATTGTGGTAGTGACATCGTGAGGTGTATTGTGGTAGTGACATAGTGAGGTGTATTGTGGTAGTGACATCGTGAGGTGTATTGTGGTAGTGACATCGTGAGGTGTATCGCAATAAGCAGACCCATACCCATACCCTGGTGAAGCTGATGATGTTGTCCTTGCCCGAGTCCGGCCCCTTGTACAGCCACCCCTTCCTGGTGATGGTGGACGACATCGACCGTGACAGCGTGTCCTGGAGGGAGGATTCTAATCAGTAAGCTGTCCATGTTCAAATACAGAGTCTAGATTTTCGAAGCTCTCTTAGCACCTAAGATAGTCGCAAGTGCCATTCATTAACACTAACTTATGACTATCTTAGCATTAAGAGAGCTTCCAAAATCTAGGCCCAAGCATCTAACTTTAAACAGTTTTCAAAACATCAATATCCCATGAACATTGGAGGAAACCAATACTTTACAAATTACAGCATCTTTCGTTTTTGTTTAATCTCGCCCTTTGCAATATTCCAGCTATTAAAGCAAAATTAAGTTTGGATCAGACAATTCAGTGAGTGAGTGAGTTTAGCTTTACGTCGCACTCAGCAATATTCCAGCTATATGGCGGCGGTCTGTACATAATCAAGTCTGGACCAGACAATCCAGTGATCAACAGCATGAGCATCGATCTGCGTAATTGGGAACCGATGACATGTGTCAACCAAGTCAGCGAGCCTGACCACCCGATCCCGTTAGTCGCCTCTTACAACAAGCATATTCGCCTTTTCTGGCAAGCATGGGTTGCTGAAGACCTATTCTAGCCCGGATCTTCAGGGGTCACAATCCAGTGATTGATATTATGAGCTTTGATCTACCCAGTATTGTAAGCATCAAGCACACCACCCAGCCTGACCAATCAATTATGACGTACCAGCTTGTAAACTGTAGATCAATTCTAACGTGGATTACCTATAGCCTATGACTGCTATTACATTAATACTACATCATGAACCTATAAGGCGATGAGCTATTCAGATAATGATAATAATAAAAATATACTCACGTCATCCTTTTCTTCAATCTCTGCATCAATCTCGAATAACTGTTCCTGAAGATTGGCATGTTTCTTGGCCCTGTAACAAAAATGGAACTAGGTGAGTGGGAGTGTTGTACGTTTCTCTACAGTAATATAGTCATTTCTCAAGTCATGGACACCATCAGTCATTTCTCAAGATGGACACCATCAGTCATTTCTCAAGATGGACACCTTCAGTCCTTTCTCTGGAATACATCGTAAGTGATTTCTCAAAGATTGACACCTTTCTCATGTCCTAAGACATGAGTGTGCTCATGATGGACACGGTAAGACATTTCTCAAGATGGATGCAATAAGTCTTTCCTCTAGATGGACAACATAAGACATTTTTGCAAGATGATGCCATAAATTTACTCTGAAGATGGACACCTTTATCACTTCTCAAGACTGATACCATAGGTTTTCTCTCAGGATGGATATCAATTGTCATTTCGTAAAATGGACACAATTATGTATTTGTCAAAAATGACACCATTAGTGATTTCCAAACATGAACGCTATAAGTCATTTCTCCAGATGGGTAGGGGTGAAACGGTACTCTCTTACCACGGTACGGTACGTATTGCGGTACAAGGTTTGATATATGAGATATGATTATAATGCAGAAAATTGACAAGAGCCGTCCAGCAAAGAAATGCATAGATTTTGAAAAAATGATTCGAATTCTAGATATTTTAGAAACGGTTTAAAAAGGTTAATAAAATGACAGTATGAAAACCAAAAATACCGATTTTTAAAATTGCATTACGGTATACCGAACTGAAGGATAAACACAGCGGTTCTACTAATACCACAATGTACCGTTTCCCCCTTACAGATGGGCACTGTAAACAGGGATTGATGTTTTCAACCAACGACAGGACTGATCCCATGTTACCTGTAACTTCTTTTCATTTGCCTACCTTCATGTAATGCTCAACAACACTTGATATTATCCCACAACTTGCCAAATAGTTTTTTTTATAGCTATATGATCTCTGCTGACATCTTATAGACTGATTTAATGACAATTGAGTCTTCATCTATACTTCCAGTGTTCACGAATGGTGTTTCAAAGTAACAGGACATTGGGTCCTGTAAGTTTCAGATGTCAGAATTAAACACAGATTTCATTTTTAACATTTCTTATAATTGGCATTGAAATTATTACCAAACATAAGATTTATAAACAGCAAACAAGTGTGACATGTCACATATAACAACTTCAGTCAAAGTCATTCTGAAATATACAGTCAGACACTGGGGCCGGCGGGCTGTAGACTTCTATCGGAGCATTGGCGAATCTGCCGGATTTGTTAGAGGGTCAGACGCTATTGGTGAACACTGTACTTTGAGAGGCATTTTTAGAAGTTGTAAAGATGAAGGACAACCAAGTTATATGGATAGTCACCTTCTTTAGTGCAATGACTGCGGCGTTTTGGTGTGGACTTGATTGAAACCGGTGTTTAAAGTATCTACACCGAAACATCACATTCATTGCACTAAAGAAGGTGACTATCCATAGAACTTGGTTGTCCTTCATCTATACTGCAGCATTGTTAAAACAGCTGAGTCAGGGATATTTGAAAACACAAAATCCATGCTTCTACTCCGTGATAAACAACGACAAATGTATGCCACAAGTCTATGAAAAGACCTTTATCGCACCACATCCCTAAAACTCATACAAATGTCACAACTAGTCTCTGTAATATTACAAAAATAACATTATTGTTAACTTTCAACTTTCAAATGCGTACATGTGATACTTTTAGAGAAAATAATAAATATATTCAGTCCCTTCTCAAATGCGCTGTGAAGATGGCTGACCTTTCTCAAGACTGGCTGTGTTTTGATGTTTCCAGCCAAATATCTCAGACCAGTATTAAACAAGGTGTAGACTGTTGTGACTGGCTACTTCCCAGTACCTTTGTCCTTCTCGTGTCACAGTTTCCAACCTAATGACTCAACAACATCCTAAGGTGTAGTACCGTATTCAATGTATTTAGAACCCCGGGTGCTCAGCTGATAAACATCTAAAAGGGGCACTTATTAGGATATCCTAATGACGGACAGTCACACAAAAGAGTCAATCAACAGCTATTGCCAAGTGTCGCAAATGCTCACGTACCTCCTGGTTCTTAATTAGAAATGGCAGTAAATACATAACACTCTGCTATCAATTTGTGATGGGAATGACAATGAGTTGAGGTCGGAGAGAAAATGAACTTATCTTCAACCCACATGTGCTACCATATGAACAGTCAGTAGTAGTACAAAGCTACTGTATAATGGTTATTTATCACGTGTGATCCGCGAACCCTTAGGAAACTATGCATATTGGAATATTAGAAAAAGTGATGGAAGTAAATATATGAAACTCAGCTATTAATTTGCGATGGGAAAAAATATTCGTAAAATGGACTACCAAGAAAAGTACTTGGAAACTCCCAACAAGCAAACGCTTTAACCATGAGGCTACCCCACCGCCCCGCCACCACTGGAAGTAGATACAGGCATTATCATATATCGCCCAATGCAATATCACCAGATGACGTCACTGGATGATATCACTTTAATATTCAAGAAACCGCAGCCCAACAAGGTTACTCAATTTCTATCTTCTGTGTTGAAAACCAATTCATACTGGACCCACAAAAGGAATCATGTGTTTTAATAGGCCATAACTCGGCTTAATCGTGTTAGAGACAACTTCAATATCGAATTATGAGAAAGTGCCGTGATAAATTTGTCTTTAACTTGAAGTTTGGTCTTAAGTACTGTGAGGCAAATGAAGGGACCATCTCAATATCAACATGGAGGGATCATCTCAACAACAATATGGAGGGACCATCTCAACATCAACATGGAGGGATCATCTCAACATCAACATGGAGGGACCATCTCAAAATCAACATGGAGGGATCACCTCAACAACAATATGGAGGGACCATCTCAACATCAACACGGAGGGATCATCAGAACATCAGCATGGAGGGACCATCTCAACATCAACATGGAGGGATCATCTCAACAACAATATGGAGGGACCATCTTAACATTTACATGAAGGGATCATCTCAACAACATTATGGAGGGATCATCTCAACATCAACATGGAGGGACCATCTCAACAACAATATGGAGGGACCATCTTAACATTTACATGAAGGGATCAAGTCCTTAAAAGGCATTTGGAAGTTGGAAGAAGAATACATGACACTTTTCATGGATAACAACTTATTCTATTTATCATAAAGTACCAACATGAAGGGACCATCTCAACATCAACATGTTGGAACATGTCAATACCAACATGAATTGACAATCTGTTGGAATGTCTGAACACCAACATGAAGGGACTATCTCAACACCAAACATGTTGGCTCATCTCCACACCAGCATGAAGGGACCATCTCAACACTAGGTTAATCATATCACACATCAACTTATTGATTTACATATTTCTACTTCTCCTTCGAGGGACATGAAGGCAAAGATCAATGTCACCCTCCATCCAGGTCGATACAAGACAGTGGTCAGTTAATTACATGACCACAGAGACGCCATCATATCCCAGGAATGTCCATGCTGATTGGATCAATACTGACTCATGTTGTACCTCTGGATCAATGCACAAACTGATATCTGCACAGCTGAATGGAAACTGGGTTTGACGTTGAGTTCAGGATTTTCCCACCTTTCTAGTGATGTGTGTCTCTGCTTTGACAATTCTGGCTTAATGTTGTTTTTTAATGCAAACCCACAGGAATACATAATAACAAGGCTACTTATATGGCGCTGAATTCCATGCTGCATAGTGGACATTATGGTTACCAAAACTGCCTGTGAGGCGCTAGAAGGTTAATGGTCATATGTTTTATTCCACCGGGTACCCATTCACTGCTGGTAGAAGAGGCAATTCAGAAAATACTCACATGCCTAAGGTGACCAACGTTGCTTAACTTAAGGGGTGCTGGGGTAGCCTTGAGGTTAAAGCGTTGGCTCGTCACGCCAAAGACCCAGGTTCGATTCCCTACATGGGCACAATGAGTGAAGCCCATTTCTGGTGTTCCCCGCCGTGATATTGCTGGAATATTGCTAAAAGCGGCGTCAGTCAGTCAGTCAGTCAGTGCTTAACTTTAACTGATTTGTGACCTGGGCTCTATGCACTTGACCACACACCACCAGATACGTACCGCAGTTTAATATGGCTACCCCACTCAGACAAAATACTAGTACACTGATTCTGAAGCGACCAGTCCTTGTCATATCCTTGAGTCACAGGAGGAAATAGTGAGTGACTATGGCTTTACGCCGCTTTTAGCAATATTCCAGCAATATCACGGCGGGGGACACCTGAAATGGGTTTTACACATTGTACCCATGTGGGGAATCCAACCCAGTCTTCAACATGATAAGCGGACGCTTTAACCATTACGCTACCCCACTGCCCCGACTTGGAAATAACAAGTCAAATATTTCACCATGTTTGAAGTGATGCAGCTGGGGGTAAACCACCAACCTTCCACTCCCCGGGCTGACACTCTATCCACTAGACCACAGATGGGGATCTCTTGATTAAGCAGAAAGAAAGTGGCTTGGTTGACACATGTCATCGTATCCCAATTGCGCAGATCGATGCTCATGCTGTTGATCACTGGATTGTCTGGCCCAGACTCGATTATTTACAGACCGCCGCCATATAGCTGGAATATTGCTGAGTGCGGCATAAAACTAAACTAACTCACTCACTCAGAGATTGCACAGGAGTATAAAGCTATAGACTAACAACTAGTCTCTGAAATGAACATATTTTACAGAAAACAAAACGGTTCATAATAATAAAAAAAAGAATATAATGAAAAGGAACCCTGAGACTTTATTTCAGGGTCTGTATGACAGATTATATAAAGCTACTGTACAATGGTTATTTATCATGTGTGATCCTCGAACCCTTAGGAACCCATGCATATTGGAATCCAAGAAATTGTAAATATTTCTCCTTCATTCCACACCCGAGTGTGACTCATTCTGCTATGAGTGCTCCGACAGCTC